TACCAGAAAATTGTAACATAAACACAGATTTTACATTTTAACACGATAAGAAATAAGAAATCATTGGCTCTTTATTTGTTTATTCTAGAGATTTGCAATTTTACAAAACTGCATGAAAGGTGCAAGTTAAAATCATGTATTTATGATTATGCGGTGTACCGCGGGTCAATCCCTAAACTTTAAAAATGATTCATAGTATAATATTTATACATGTATATATGTCACATATTGTTCTAAAATTAACAATCCAACTAAAATCATACAATTTAAATAATTTTGAACATATTCGAAACCAACACAAAAAGTACAATATAAAAATGATAGAATTTAATTAATAATCAAAATAAAGTAAAGCAAACACAAATAAATTATTCCGCAACGTACAAAGGATTACAAACCCAGTAATTTTCCCCCGTGCTGTAGCGCGGGTCCGAATCTAGTTAATATAATAAACTACAACCAAAAAACAGCTAAAAACACTAGTGTATTAGAGATGAGATTAGCCTAACTTTTGATACGTTACTAAAGCTGGCTTATTAGCACTTGACTCAACCTTATAAACTCGGTGGCATTTCTTCAATCTCACGCTACTACTACTTCCTCAAATTTAAAATTGTTTAATCAATCAGTAATTTACAAGAAGATTAGTTAAGTTTCAACGAAGCTATAATTTGTAACCTCATGTTACAAAGAGAATCATTGATCATTGATTGGTATTAGGATATTGCTACGTCGCATTACGGGCCCATTTATCCATCTACGTCTATATCTTGTTGTTAAGAAAATACCAAAATTTTCATATACTAAATAGTTATTAGTTTACGTGTACGAATCTCTTCCCTCCTTTACGAGAGACCTTTTTGATTTCATGTCGGTCACAAAAAACACTAAATAGCATTTCCTGATATTAATCAAGTCATCATCACACTATTTAATCAGATCGAAACCTCCTTTTTGGGCATATACGCAACAATCAAAATCAAAGCTCTTTCGAGAAACGAAAAAAAACGAGTGGGGTGTTACAAAAGTTCGAAACATACAAATCACTTACTACATACACTAAAAAAGAAGTAAAGGGGAATAATTTTGGTTACCTTTTTTTTTTGACAGTGTTGTAAAATCAAAATCTCAAGCCTTGAAGAGGATTTCGACGGCTTCAAAGAAGAGAGGAGCGATCTCCGGTGTTGGTGTCTTCACCGCACATTTCAGACCAGGATGACCCACCATGGCTGTTAGTTCGATCAAGAATGGTATGCCTCTCGGGACTTTGGCTGAAAGATACAGCACGTCTTGGTTTCCGTTCTTACGCTTTGCTATGAAGAACATGTTTGATGCTGCGAGCATGTCAAGTGTTGACTCAACGCTCGTGATGGTTATCCCGGGGAATTCCTTTTGGACCTCGTTTGAATCCGGTAATGATCTCCATGTCTAATATAAAAAAATAACAAATGTTTTTATAACTCAGAGGAACTGGTTTTTAAGGCTTGTGATATATTTTTTTATGATCAGAAGTGGATCAATTCCTTCAACTATTAATGAATCTAGCAACTTAAATCAATGAAATCATATCCTATTTTAAGATCTAGAGCACCCTAAGTCTCCCAGGCTTCTTAAGGCACAAAACCTGTCACTAATTACTCAGACAATCCTAATACCATTAGACCTTTCCAACTTTTACTCAAGGCATTTCTAATGAACTCTTAATCATATAGTAAGTATTATTGTCTTTTACCTCGAGGAAGGTTCCGCGTTCCATCCTACCATCTTCTGAGAAAAGAGCATGAAGTACAATCTTATCCTCGAAGTACCAGACAGGCTGCTGGTTGTTTTTGACGGCAACTTGCAAAATCGAGCTGGTTGGCCCAGCAGACATGTTCTGGGATAATGCCATTGGCAACATTGTCCTGGCAGATGCTCCGGGTTGCAGAGGCGGAACCTATAATAGTAAAAAACCTGGACATCAGTTTCAGCAATCCAGGATAATAGGCATGGATGTGTAGCATATACAATTACTTGTACCTGAAGAGGTCCAACAGCTGCAAGGCCGAATGAGTTTTTGTTGAACTGAATCATGAAGCCATCAAGAACTGACTGCGAGTTGTTCTCAAGGAGCATACTGTAGAATACTTGGCCATCTTGTCGTGTTAATTGAGCGCTAATCTGCAAGCCTTGACCTTTTGAAGCTGGCAGGACAACAGGCAATGGACGACTGCACATCAAATGATCCAATAAGTTTCAATTGTGAAAAGGTAATCCAAATATATATGATTGAAGAAAACCAGTCTCTCTAAAAGACTTCTAATGTAATATAATATTTTCACCAGTTACGCCAAACTCACCCTGACGGAGCTGTGGGATCATCTACAGGGACAATTGCAGCATTATCTGACCCCATTAGGTCACCTAGCAGATCAGGCACAGGAGCTGGGGCAGCCACTTGCTTTGGAACATAGCCTACGGTGGCTGGAGGGGAGGCTGCACCATCAACCGGATTACCAGATGTCTCAGAATATCCTGTTTCGCTCCCTTCTACATAGTCCTCATCTTCTGTTTTCTGAACTGTGGTTTTCAAGCGGGTTACAAAAGCCTCTGGCGGCTTGTGATACACAGAGGACAAGGTGGAAATATTTGTAAGCAGCTCATCCAGGAGTGACGGCTCAAGTTGGTTTGAGTCGTCAGTAATCACAGGCTTTTCAGCTAAAACCACATCCTTGGCCGCCTAGCCAAAAGAAGAGCACTGATGATTGTTGCTCATTTTCCAATGTGCTTGAACTCGTTGAGTAGTATAACATATCAAGGAAACATACCTCGGGATCAGTAGATAGAAGACGCCAGTAGATGTATGCACGATCCCTGAGATCAGGATTATCTGTCTCAACAGTAGCATTATTCAAGACAACCTGAAAAATTGAAATATGGCAAAAGCCAGGCCATTCATCATACACATGCACTTTAATCGATTAGGAGTGCAAAAGGTGTTCTTCATAATGGTCATGGCAGACCTGAATCATTTGTTGTGGGCCTTCAGTTGGCTTCTTCAGAAAAAGTTTGACTGTAGCTGTAAGAAGCTGCAGCTGGACCTGTGCTGGTTCCTCAGGGAAATTCTCCAAGAAGCTTTCAAGAAGTTCATCCGCATTGTCGATCCTTTCAGCATATTCACCAATGATCCAAATCATAGATGCCTTTCAAGATGCCAGCAAAAGCAAGAGTACAAGTTTCACTGATTTAAGATTTATTTTGGATGGGGAAGCTTCCAGCTATTTTACACTATGCAAACGACACATTTTATTACCTTAGCTTCTGGTTCATCCAATGTGTCTAGACTCTCACAGAGTGTTGCAATTATGGACTCATACCTGTACGTTATTTTGAATGACATAACCAAGATTAAAGGGCACTACAGCACTTTAAGAAACCACACGAAAGAAAATAGAAATAAATCAACTTACGTGTTTGGATATCTTCTAAAGATATCTTTGATGACTATAATGGCCTCCTGAACAACATAGTTTACTTTGATCTTGATCAGCTCAAGTAATACACTGATGCACCGTTCAGCTGCTCTTTCTAGTTTGATGGCACATCGGCCAATTGCACGAACAGCCTTCCGAACAAAATCAACGTCTACTTCCGTCGCATATTCTTTGAACTCCAGAAGAACCTACATTGGCATGGTCCAGAAACAATCATGACTTGCACCAAAACAAAATAACTTGAACAAACAGCAGATGAGAGTAAGGATTACCTGGTCTATGTTTCTGTCAGAAGCAAGTTTTATCATAATTTCTAACTTCTCCATCTTGACATAAATTGGATCATTATACTTGCAGAAGAATACCTACAAGAAAATCATGAAGCATTATCAATAAGTATACAAATATATCAATTGCTTATTCCCAGAGTCTACAAGACAGGATCAAGCTACCTTGATTTCATGGGCAAGAATAGTGGGTCTCTTTTGGACAATAAGGTTAATGTTACGAAGCGCAACATACTGTATCTCAGGTTCTGCAGAAAGCAATGTCACTAGGGGAGGCGCCATCTTCTTGCAAAGATTACGAATCACATCTGTACTAGTTATAAGCTCCATCTGCTGAAGAATCATCTGGAAAGCTCGCAGAGAAAATGAACAGAAGAGTAGTAGAATTAGAAAACCATGTAAGGGAATATAGTTGACACTTCACAAACAATTTTGCGAACAGATGACATTCCAGGGAGATATTCTTTTTTCAAGTATTACCTTAACAGCTGAAAGCACAACAGCACAATTGGCATGTTGCAACCTTGGAGTGACTCTCTCAACAATATTTTCAGCTTCACGAGGATCAGATGCTTTATACCTCGACAAAGCATCTAATATAAAAACTTGACCCCATCTGTGAAGAACAGAGACAGTATTATTAAAAATGAAAATTATATATATATAAAAATATCTATCAAGCAAGGAAAAATTAGTCGTTTTTGGTCCGAAATAGGCTAAGAACCCACAACAATTCCTATAGATCCCTTTCCCTAAAGTTGTAAACCATGACCCTTATATCTACACAGAAAACCTTCAACTCCAATAACAACAAAATACATCCTAAACTGGCACAATTTTCAATAGATACACAGTACAAAAGCATAGATAAACTGATGCTTTAACACAAGAAGTAATCCCGAAACTCAACAGATTATCCTACTCTGAATATTTAGGCCAGCCTGAACGTTCTCCCAAAACAAAACCTAATGATGATCTGACTAAAATCAGTCAATCAGACACAATCCGAGTGAAAGTAGGATACGGAATTTAGGAACCACTTACTCAGTACATTCGTTTAAAGCTGTAAGGAGCTTTGTGAGGGTGGTACTATTGATTTCAAATATGGGACTAGTACTATTCTCTTGTATCTCTGCAAGGGCTGCTACAGCATTTGCTACAACCATTGGATTATTATCTGATATTAAATCCTTTAAGGCTTCAAGGAACCCCCTATCCTCAACTAATTCAGCATTTATGTCAAACAGTTTAGCAACACAAATAGCTGCTGTCTTACGGACATACGGATCATCATCCTGAAAATTACAGAAGCCCAGGAAATACAGAAATATGTCATTTTTCAAGGTTAGAAAGTTCTTGATGGACATAAATGTTTTGCTACGAGGTTGCAGTGACAAGGTAACATAAGAAAACCCAACCTTTAGGCATTTCTGAAGAGGATCACACAAATATTCTGTGATCTTATCAACACGAATACAGCCCATTGTTCGCACAGCCAAAGCCCGGATCAATGGATTTGGGTCTTGTGAATCCTGGCAAATAAAAAGCGAGAGTTTTATAATGACGAGTTCCTTTGTTAGTTTTTCGTCTTCCAAATACAGCGAAAAATCAAGAAACTCGCAATATGTTAGGTATTTTTGTCTGGGTAAGCTATATAAAAGTAGCTTAAGTGTTACCTTTACAAAAGTATTTACAGCGAGGATAGCAAGATCTGGCTGGCTTTTTGCATAGTTGATCAGATACAAGTAAACAAGCTTCTTCAATTCCAGATTCTCCGTTTGCATGCAATTGACTACATCAGTGAAAAGCGATGAAACATCCTTTCCAACCGTCATCGCGGCAATAACCTTCTTAACAGCATCTTTCCTCTTATCCTAGGTACATAATAAAGAAAAGAGAGGTTATTTAACTGAAGCTAAACAAAATAAAATAATCATGAATCAGTACCATTGTCATCTTATAAGAATGTAACATTGTGCTAGATATTATACTGAAAATTTCATACTTGAAGATTAAACAGTTCACAACTGAGGTCAGGCAACATCAAAAAGACTTGTGTTTCCATATGTTAACGTGTAGCAATCAAAATCAAATCAATTGTAACCATCTACTCAAAGAAGAACTGTCTATATCTTTTCAAGTAGGCATAACTGGGAAAGTTGAAAAAATCTACTAAATTAAGTAGATTCATGTAGTCCAAAGACATTAAACTTGGAAGAAGAAGCTGAGGTTTTAATAAACGATCACTGATCTTCCACCCAATGCATCCATCCCAATTCAAAAACTTATGATCTACCACCAATCTAAACTTCAAAATAGTGTCTACGAGATTGCACACATCCCCGCATTAGCCATTTCTCAGAAATGTATTCCATTTCTAGCTATTTTTCAAATCAGCCATTTGAACACATTCCCATCATCACTCTTTCCAAATTAATTAGCCACCAAAAAATTTACCGATCAGTTCAAATCCGGAATCATACAGATCTACCAGGAAAAGAATTACGAAAAAATTAAACACGATGATCGAGAGGAGATCAAAGTCGTAAGAAATGGCGGATCACAGATCCATAAATGAAATTAGACGGAGAAGAAGAACCTTGTACTGTGAATTAAGCTCTTCCTTAAGCTCAGGGATCTCTCCCTTCTTCGTAGTCGAAAAGTATTTAGAATCATGGCCGCTCATTTCTCCCTTCTTCTTCAACCTCCACACTTCTCCTCCTCCGGGACGATGAGTGACAGATAGAGAGAGACGAAGAACGCAAAATTTCTCACTTTCGTTCAATGGGCCTTTTGGTAATTTTGAAAGGTCTTAGACTTTTGGTAATTAATATGAAAGTAAAAGGTGGTATAAAATTAGAAATAATTACAGTTTGATCCTCATAGTATTTACATTTCTCGAAGTTGCCTCGTAAGTTCGACTAGACGACTAGTCAACGCCAGTTGCCATCCAGGGTGAAGAAGAAGAAGAAACGTTTTTTGATATTTTTGTATTTCTTCAAGTTGACGGGTTTTGAGAGGGGGTATGAAGTCAGAAACACGTCTGCCAGATAAAAAGTTAGATGTGATTTGATCAGATTCTCAAAGACTTTTTGCGAGACTCTGATCCTTATCGCTTCTCTCCCTCTCTCGCTTGACCTCACTTCGTCGTCGAAAACATCAGATCCGTGAGAAAATGGCGCCCAAGTACGATATGGAGAAGATGGAGCTCCGTAAGAACTTCCGTAACGTTTGGCATACCGATCTCTCTCACAGTATCCAGAACGATACTCCCTGTAATTTCTCACTCTCGCTCTCTTTTGAAAATTTGTGTTTGATTAGTTTGGGGTGTTGATCCGAGCCATTTCTGTGTTGTTGTTTGCAGATTGCTGCTTCGCATTGTGGTGGTAAGCTCCGATTGATCTGAGATTGTTTTTGTTGCTTCCTCTCTCTTTCTGTATTTGGAATTTGAATATGATCTTTGATATGTTTTGAATTGACCAAGATTTGACTTCGAATTACATTGTTAGATCAGCTTTGGTTTATGGAGTGATCTGAATTTTTTTCACAGATAATGTATTTGCTCATCTTTGAGCTTGGTACTACTAGAGAATGTGTAACAGGACTTTGACATTGTATGATTTGTATGTCTTTTGGTCCATTGTTTTTTTTCTCCTTGCAGTGCCCCTTGTGCATCATATTTGCTTCGCAAGCGTGCTCTTTATAATGATATGTCAAGGTATTTTACACATTCAATAGCCTTTCACAGAGATCAATTCCAGTTTGATCTTTTAAGTTTTAGAAGATCTGCTTATTGTGTCTCACAGGTACATTTGCTGTGCGGGTTACATGCCTTGTAGCGGCAGGTGTGGAGAAACCAAATGTCCTCAACTTTGTCTTGCTACTGAGGTAAAGATCTTGATTTTGCAATATATTGTATTTAAATGAATTTCAGCATTGAATGTTTCTTTTGGAACTTTTTTCATACAAGCTCAGTTATGCCTACACATGACTACAACCCTATGAACTGTTGCCAAGTTTCGAGTGTTCTAATTAGCAAAACAAATTGCAGGTCTTTTGCTGCTTTGGAACGTCTGTGGCCTCGACTCGTTTTCTTCTTCAAGATGAGTTCCAAATTCAGACAACACAATGTGACAACTGCATCATTGTAAGTGTATCCTTGTTACCCAAATCATGCCGGTTGTTTTTGATGCACACAAGCAACTAGAATGGAAACAAATAAAAGATTATGAAACACGAAAAATGAGTGTCTTAATCTATGTTCTCTTGGCTGTGTAGGGTTTCATGGTTTGCCTGAGCCAAGTGGCTTGCATATTCTCCATAGTTGCATGTATAGTCGGTATTGATGAGCTTTCAGAAGCTTCTCAGTTGCTCTCTTGTTTAGCTGACATGGTGTACTGCACGTAAGAATCTCCCCCATCTGTTATTTCATTCTTAAAAGACTTTAATTAACACCTGATTTTAACCCTCGCTTTTTTTGCTTCATCCACAGGGTTTGCGCATGTATGCAGGTAAGAATGATGATCACCCATTTCCATGTCACCCTTACTTAAACCTTACTTACAGGCTCCTGAATAAAATCTTATAACTACTTCTGTAGACACAACATAAAGTGGAAATGGACAAGAGAGACGGTAAGTTCGGCCCACAGCCAATGGCAGTGCCTCCGCCTCAACAAATGTCCCGGTTTGATCAAGCCATCCCACCCACAGTCGGTTACCCTCCACAACAAGGTTATCCACCTTCTGGTTATCCTCAACACCCTCCACAAGGTTATCCACCTATGGGATATCCCCAAAACCCTCGTCCAGCTTATTCTCAATACCCTCCTGCGGCTTATCCTCCTCCTCCCACTTACCCAAAGTAATAACTCTCTGCCTGGTTTCTCTCCTGACTTGGAAAGTTTCATTTCTATATCTTTTCTTGATTCACTTTCACATCGTTGATGTATATTCACTTTCTGGTTATGGGTCAAGCGTTGAACGTTCGCTGATTGTTTTGAGGTCATTGTTTGTATGAGATTTGACTTCACCCGTTGTCGTTATTTTCTGAAACGTCCCTCTTGGACTAAGAGATTTGATGAATTTTTCATTTCCTTTTGAATATCTCTTTTTCGAAAGTTGAGAGCAAAACAATTTGCGAACTGTATATTCAGTTAACATAGAGGTGCAAGTAATAGATTGATGAATTGTATATGAGAAAATATTGCACTTTTTATGAATCATGTACTGAGGGAAGAACTTGGATGAATGGGATGGATCTCAAAGAATAAAAATTTAAATAACGTGGCAAGAAATTACGAGGGCTAAAAAAGCAGCCTAAAAACTCTAATTTTTCTTCCCTTTCAAAAAAACCAAAATTAATACAAAAACTATAGTATTTATAAAAAAATTACTTAAGTTCAGTAACTTCACCTGCTCTACATACACCAACATTGATCCATAAGGTATTATTCCTCTTTGTTTGTAACACTCTGCAACAGTTCCTCCTAGGTGACTGTACAAACAAAACACAAGAACCATTACTTCATATAACGATTTACTTACGTTTTAAATCATATCCTAAAATGACATTATGTGTTACTTACCCTTTCCCATAGATGAGGGTCTGGTTTCTTGTAGACGACAATGGTATTAATCTCAGCTGGATTAGTCATCTTCCACCTACAAGACGGATGCGAAACGCGGTGTATCGTGTATTCACTAACCGTCGTGTTCAGCTGCTTGTCGAATTTCGTGCTCGACATGTAAAACACAAACGGCTTTTGGCACGGGTTACGACTAACCGGCCTGGTGTTGAATGCATAAGCAGTGTAATCCGCCCGTTTGTACCAATTCAAAAAGGTTCTAGAAGGCATTTCCATTTCCCGGGGAGAGAATATCCCGCGGAAGATTTGAACCGCGTATCCCCACGATACCGAGACAGTCCAGCTCTTGTGCTTATCATAGCATATTGACTGCTGTAGAAGCCCTGCCGAGTCGAGCTTCATAGGTTCTTTTAACTTCTTTAGAGCTCGAACCCGTGTCGTGTTCGGGAAAATCGGTTCCACCACGTCCAGGTGATGCATTGAGACGAATGGTGTTACTGGATGTGCAGCAAGGAGGCCGAAGAGGTTCCCGTAAACGTCATACTAAAACGCAAAGACAAAACACAAAATGTTAAACGTAGCGTTGGTTACACTCACCAAATGTGCGCGTAGGGATAATGAGAAGAACAGGTCATCAAGTGTAAAAACAGAAAGGCGGGTCCCACTCATTACAATAAGCAATCTAACTTAAGTAAATTGAACGGACAGTGAGCCTACTCACGCGCCGCTTTGTCGGTACCAAACCACGGAAAAATTTTGCATCCAAACAAAAGAAAATAAAAAGACAGAACCAAGAAACGGAACTGTAACTATCAACCAGCTTGAGATTCGTCTTCGTAGAAGAACATTAAGACATTGAAAGCTTATTCTAAAAGCTTCAAACTTCGTAACTTTGGTATTAAAGCCATACCTCCTAAAACTAGTAACAAAACTCTAAAAAGTCATAAACTTTGTTGAGTTAGATTCCTTTTTCCAAAGCAGTCAACTTAATTGATTGAAACCCACCTAGTATAAGATCAGCACTATCAATACCCATGTCAAAAACTCATTTAATGAACACCAAGGTTGCCACTCAATCATCAAAATTGCTTAAACAAGCCAATCAAATTTATGTTCTAGACTCAACATCATCACCAATTCCCACTTCATTGACTCCTCAAGAATCTCTAATTCCATCCTTAGAACTACCTTTTTTTGCTTAAATCAATGAATGTATAACAAAATTTTAACCAATTGGTAAGAATCCAACACTAGCCGAGTTCTTTACCTGGTGAAAGCCAAGTTCTTTAGTGAGTGGAACACCAAGTTCAGCCATACAAGCTTGCATGCGATCATCTGAACCATACAATGCAGGATACCTCTGTATACACCGATCTTGCATCTTACTCAAAGCCTTAGCCAATGGATAGCTAATAGCAAACCCACCTCCACCATAAGCCATCCCATACGAGAAAAAAATGTTCTGTAAATGAGATTCCGACAAGCTCCCAATGTAATACATCTGCTCATGGTCGTACTTCCTCAGCACCCTTATCAGATTATCCGTGACAAACACCGTATCATCATCACCCATCACGAACCACCTCACATTCTTGGGACCTAAACGCAGCATTTCAGACACAATCCTCGAGATCCGTAACGCCGAGCGTTGTCCTTGCTTGTTAGTGTACGGAAACGACGCAGTTCCGGCGGAGATTTTAATCGGAGGAAGAAGCTTTTCGTCGTCATCAGCACCAATATCATCATCACTAAGGCTCTTCTTCACCTCTTTATCCAACCAAACGTAGCCACGCATGTGTTTTGGTTTATACCAGATCTTGATATACTCTTTCCTCTGTTTCCATAGCTTAGACGAGGCAGCGATCCCGAACACAACGTGGTTAAGATCCGTCGGCTCATCAACCTCCGTGTCTTCTTTCTCCTCCCATTCGCGCCGTCGTGAAGCTACGGAAGAGGAGGAGGGTAAAGGTAAAGAAGAGGCGTTGGAGGAAACGTTGGTGGAGAGAGCAGAGACGGTGTTGAAAGGAGTGGAATCGTCGCAGGAGCGTGAGGTGGAGACGAGCTTAAGCATGTAGATAATGTAAGTGAAGACAATGAAACAGATAAGCCAAACCATAAGTTTTGGACCGGGTCGGGTTAAAGACCACATTCCGGGTATGGAAGCACTCGATGAGCTTCGATCCCATATTGGTTTCTCCGACGAATCTTTCTGGTTACCTTTCATCCAAAAATTTTGTCACCCACACACCCAAATTACAGAAGAAAAAGATCCAAAATCTGTATAAACAAAACAAATCCCTAGTTATTTCATATGTCTGAAAATTCAAGGGAGAAAAAAAGAAGGGGAACAGTGAGTGAGTGTTCTTGATTCGAAACCCAGAAGAGAACGAACCGAAAAAAATGGATCTTTCTTGCAACGAAAAAAAGGAAAGATCAATGAGAATGAGACTGTTGATGCCTCCAGAGAAATCGAGGGAAAACTCGAGAAAATAAAGGCAAAGACAAAGCTTTTATCTTTTTCTAATTTTTTTTTTTGTTGAGCTTCTCTGTGATGGGGAAGCGAGAGAGAGAGAGATGGAAGACAGATAAAAGGTGAGAGAGAACGCAATGCTCTCCCACTAGAAAAATATTAAAAAAAACAAAAAAAAAAACAAAAAAAGGTGAATAAAAATATTATTGCAAAGTAAACACAATGTGGTTGTTGTCTTTATTTTAATTTTAATTTATTTTTTTCAAAATGAAATTTATTGCTTGTTGAAATATATAATTAAATTATCATAATCTATTTATTTCATGTTTTTATAGTGTAAGCATATAAAACTAAAAAGGTTTGTGTTCTTTTTTTTTTAATTTGTAAGATAAAGCGCGGTCGGATCCATGAAGCATGAATGTGTTATGGGTCCTACTCTTCCTTGTCCTCCACGTGGGCCACTAAGAACTATCTACGTGTCATTTTCTGTCCTAAAACTCAAAAAGCTAAAGCTAAAAGCAGTTTCATAGGCTCGTTTCTCGGCAAAGGTTAAACAGTCAGTGCTACAAATCAGAGGCTAAACTAATTACATTGGCTCTTCATCATCATCACTCATTTGTGCTACTTACTGTGTTTATTGTTCAATGTTTATGAGAAGTATACGTAATCTGCAAAATAAATACTGTTAGATTGGAGTCTCTCCACGTGTTTCTGTATTCAACCTAGATTTGGTTCTTTTCTTTTCTTTTTTTAGGAAATAAATAATGGGTTTATAGATTGACCATTTGAACTTTGAAAATCTAGATTTATATTAAGAATACTGAATATATAAATGTCCATATATATATGTATCTTTAGTAATGCATGTATTATCTTATTTTATGGTCAAACATTAATATTTTTATAGATTTTCGATTTGGATGTATTGTACAAAGTCAACTTATGTGTATATAGTTACTTATACTAAAAAAAAAGATTTAGTCAAGTATATATATATATATATATATATATATATATATGTAAACATTTACTATGGTTAGAAATTGCAAAAAGAAAACTTGATTGGATGAAAAGATAAAAGCAATGGACAAATATGAATATAGAGCAATGATTAGTTTGTTGTCGTCGGAGAAGGTGACTGATAATTGTAACCACTAGCTACTGTTTTGGTGTTTGACGTTTGTAAAAAGTGGTTATAGATGTATTAGGTATGTTTTTTGCTAGTAGCTCCGGAATGAATAGGATTGATTAGGAAACGAATGCCAATATCAAGCTTCTTCCATATAGCCAACTAAAATACAAAGTTCCTAAGAAAACGATTGGACTCAATGTTTTTGTTTTAAGTTTAACAACTAAGAAGTATCATCAACTATAGAAGATAAATGAGAAGGATTTGCCCCTGATCATTAAATATATTGCATTACATTCTCCTTTGGATTCTTGATTAATACACTGTTTTTGTCCTCTTCTTAATTTGGTTAATCCTAAAACAGAATTATGAATTAATATAATCAAAAAGCTGCATATACTACCACCTGCTCTATATTCTCTAATTATTATATTTTGAGATCTTTGGTCCCAGCATTAGGGCCATTGCACGCAGAGATATCATATTCTATTGCCCCACTTTACATTATTTGGTTTTATAAAACTGTTCCATAGAATTAGAAATCATTGCTTTCTCTATATTTTTTCTTTCCACTGTACACTTATAGGTTAATGTGTTGATGGATCTTAATTTGACAAAGCCCATTTATAGCTCTTGAAACACTAAATAAAGCTCATTACCGAACTTTCAGTATTTGTCATTTCTTTCCAACTCTGTAGTGTAAAGCAGTAAACCTGAAGTTATGTAGAGTGGTCAAAGAGACACTGGCTTTGGTTCATGAATGCTTTGCAGCTATAGCACATGCTAACAAGACAAAACAGAACAAGATAAGTGGTCGTATTTATGTGTTTGCTTGTATAAACCGGATTGGACCGCCTCTACTACGCTCAGTGATTATCTTATCAGTGATATCCGACAAGATTGATTACAAAAGATAATGCATACACACAATGTAATTTTGATCTTCAGTGTTCATATCTTGGTGGAGAAAACTACAAGTGAGTGGTGGAAACATATCAGTTATTTACTAGACCCATATAAACTACATTAGTACAAAATTCACATGATTACTATATAATTCACAAAGCACACATGCATGATGCTTCCAGAAAAAAAAAAAAAGACAGTGATTTTTGTTAAAACAGCACCAAACTTCACAATGTCTCTACTAAACATCTCACAAGGGTTTATGCTAAAGACTCAGTTATTATCCTATCAGATAAGATTTAAGAGGTTCTTAACACGAAACCTTTGGTAGATGCATGTAACTAGCCATCTTCATCGTGGCTAGACCATGATTGAAGAAGGGAATACATGAGCAGTGGACCAACAATTGGAGAATAAGGTGGTGGTCTACTGAAGGCAACCATAGGCTCTACCGTTTCCTCCATCTTCTTCATCGTTTCGCTTTCACTATTGTTCCCGTTCACAGGTTTCTTGGGTACAACGGTTCTTACCACTTTACCTGCTTCTTCATTAAACAGAGTCACTCTTTTCGTTTTCTTCCTCATGATAAACTAAAACCATACGAAAATGGTGAAAGAGTTAGATAAAAGAGTTTACCTTTTGATCCTGAGACCGGGAAGATTGGTTTGAGCTTGTCTACAAGAGTAGGAACACGTCGCATGAGGTTAGGATCTAGGTTTGTCTCTCTCTATAGCTTAATCTATTTGAGCGAATAGACAGAAAAAAAGCTCGTAGTGTTGCAGAGTAACGTTTCAAATCTCTGAAACATATGAAAAACTATCAGAAATCAATGATTATGCTTAAATAACAAGAAGCTGAAATTACCAAATATGTTGTGATCAAGAACTCGATTGGTTTTGCAATATGAATTAAGATCATCAAACAAAATAAGAGTAGAATGAAAAATTGTACAACTGAAGTAAATTTTCTTAATTAGTAATCCAATAAAAAACAGAGGAAACTTGAAAACACTATCAATGATAAATTTGCACTCAGAAAAATAGAAAACAGAAATTGTCATAGTCTCATAGAGATCAACGTAAAAGAAGACTAGGATGGATGATGATAGTTACCAGATTTCAAAAACTGAGCAAAATCAAGTGAGTGTCTCAAGTTGTCCTTTTGCAAGAGCTTTGCTTTTTCAGTGAAGACTCATCCACAGATTTTGTTTTAGTTGGATAATTTCAATGGCAAGTAATGGCAGAGGAAGGTTTGAGAAGGTCCGAGACTCTTGGTTTAGTTACACAATTTTACAGAATAGCCTCTCATCTTTTCATCAATTCTTATTTGCCCCATATATTATACATATTCTCAAACTGGTACAGAGTCCATATATTGCATCAAAATCTAAACAAGTTTATTTCAAAAAATTCTGTTTATAAAACTCAACGGCATCAAAATTTATGCATAACATACTATTTTTGACAGTCAATGTGATCTATTAAGAGGTCAAAGCCTCATTTACTATGTCTAGGTTGGGATTGTATATATATATATATATAAAGAAAAATTATGTGCAAAAGAAGAAACTTCATGACCTCGATGACCAAAATTAAATGCAAGCTCAAGGAGAGTCCAGTGTCAAACATATTTATATATTGCTGTTTATATCGACTAGAAACTCATTATTTCACAAGTAAAAAGAAATTAACAACAAACTCACAACACACATTTGTAAATTAGGACAATAATTTACTAATGTATGTAGAGATCAAGATAGAGATCTCTATATGCATATTACGGTATACACATATTGTAAAAGCCGATTACTAGAGTAAGATATACAAACCCTAGTTTTATAACTTCACGGCTTATAACTTTACTTATCTCCGAACAAGTATCCAAGAGATGAGCCTCCACCAGGAACTGATGTCACCTTCGTCGTTGGACGATCCTGAAATTTTAATTATTAGAATATCTGAATAAAAGAGAGAGAGAGAGAGAGAGAGAGAGAGAGAGAGAGAGAGAGAGAGAGAGAGAGAGAGAGAGAGAGAGAGAGAGAGAGAGAGAGAGAGAGAGAGAGAGAGAGAGAGAGAGAGAGAGTTTAACTAATGAAAGAGAAGAAAGACTTACGGTGACGAAGTTGTCGGAGTTTTGGCCCTGAGCTCTTTGGTAGTTGTTGTTGTTGTTATTAGAGATCTTTTGCTTTTTGTGATCAGCTTCTTCCTTCTCGGTGTAATCTACGCCATAAGGTGGTGCAGGCTTTGGGGCTACCGGTTGAGGAGTTTTTGGAATCTCATTGTCTGATCCAAAAAGATAACCTAACGAGCTTTGTCCGCCTCCAAAGCTCCCACCTCGGCTCATTGTCCGATTGAGAACCAATTGGTCAACCAAACCCTAATTTATTATGCAGACTGGTTTGGTAGGCAATGTGGAGTACTAAAATATAGATTATAATTAAGACAGGGATGCTTATATAGAGGAGGCGGTAAAGAGATTTTAGACGTACGATACTGTAATTAGAGGTATCATTACATATATACTCAAATAATCGAATTAATTAATGATATTTGTAATTAGCTTTTAGAGATGATTAGGGCAATTATATTGTTTTAAGTAATTTACAAATATGTAAATTAAAATACCACATCTCATTCTCTTCTATCTTCCAAATTAAAAATTACCATTAAAATCCTAAAATTAAAAAACCCGAACAAGTTTTAGATTTACCTAGCAAGGCCGGTTGATAAACCTAAAATATTGCTGTATTTTATATATTGTAATAATTAATAGCATCAAATTTTATAATAATTCATAAGATGGTACTTAACATAAGATTTGTGATCAGTGCAACCTACAAAAAGGTTTTTAAGCAAGTTTACGGATAGTTTTAGTTGATGAACCCAATCAGAACCTACATGTTTTCAGCATATGATCATTTCATATGCTCAATGAAGTTTGGTTTTAAACGTTTATTTTTTTCTTATATGAACTATACTGTTAGGTTTTTACGTACGTTTAATTCGAAAAAACGTCTAATTTAATATCTAACTAGATTCGGACCCGCGTTACAGCGCGGGGGAAAATTACCGGGTTTTTAATCTTTTGTATGTTGCGGGATAATTTATTTGTGTTTGCTTTACTTTATTTTGATTATTAATTAAATTCTATCATTTTTAGATTGTATTTTTGTGTTGGTTTCGAATATATTCAAAATTATTTAAATTGTTTGATTTTAGTTGGATTGTTAATTTTAGAACAATATGTGACATATATACATGTATAAATATTATACTATGAATCATTTTTAAAGTTTACGGATTGACCCGCGGTACACCGCATAATCATAAATACATGATTTTAACTTGGACCTTTCATGCAGTTTTGTAAAATTGCAAATCTCTAGAATAAACAAATAAAGAGCCAATGATTTCTTATTTCTTATCGTGTTAAAATGTAAAATCTGTGTTTATGTTACAATTTTCTGGTAGCAGAAACTTATTTATATAGATAATATTTTCTTAGAGTTAGGTTAGCGTTGAAAAAAAGATTAGCTTTGTAATCAAGCCATAAATTCGAAACTATTGCCAAATAAATATATTAAAGATGGTTGAAAATGAATTATCCCGTAATTGGTGTGAAGATCATAGTTAATATAGGAGAAAACTATACATCTAAATATTAATATAAGATATTTAAGGAACATTTTGTTTTGAAATATTATGGATAATTTGATAAATATTTTATATTTAATTTATATTTCTGATTTTTAGGTTAATTTGTTAAACCAATATACAAAATCATACATTAATGTATTTTTCCTTAAACAAATTAAGATTAATGTACTTTCCAGAACCGATATTGATGGTTTAATTTGGTAGATTTCGAAATAATATATATGGAAATTGGTATTTAATATCTTTAAATTTTTAGTAAGATCCAATTGAAAAATTTCGGGTTAATTTTTAAAAAAAACCCGACCCAAGAAACTTTTGTACTTCTCTTTTACTATAGTAGGGATATAAATAACAAAATTTTATGGCACCTGTGGCAAAACAAATACTGAAAACTAGATATATATAGTTTTGTTGAATCTACTAATATTGGAGAAACTTAAAATATGCACCAATGAAAAGACGGTTAAATTCGTTTGTGACACATATAAGATGATTTTTGATGATTTCTTACACCAATAATATACGAACCATTGTAACTAAAACTCACATACACACACAAAATATGCTAAAAATGAAAATGAAGATTATATTAATCGACAGAAGTACAGAACCAGGTGGGTTGGGCCAAACCTTTATTAAGTTATTTAATTTTCATGTCAGTCTTTTTTATCATTTGGTGAAGGGACGAGAAAATATCGTAAATAGTGGGGTTAAATCGAAGAGTGTGATATGCAACCAAAATGAAAACACTAAATGAGAAAATGGCTACTAAAAGATAAATTACCAAAAAACGACGTTTTCTGATTACCTTTAAAAGAGAAGACCGGAAAAGTGATAACTAAAGAAAAATTTCTACATATATATGTACTAAACCATCATTTCTTCTTAATGATTGTGTTTGGGTTTATTGTTTAAATTCCATTTATGTATATATATATATATGATGTGGAATTGTGGATACTTGTTTAACTGAAAACTAGAGGATTCGCTTCTACACTCACCCACGCTTCTATTATCTATATACTTTCAATCAGAATCATATATTAAACCAGAGAAGTATCAAATTATCAACATACATAATACATTTTATAAAAGTTATATTTAAGTATGTCGCTACCCCAACGTTAGACGGCTGCAGAGGAATCTAGAAAATCAACTAAAATCCTTCGCACAAAATTGACAATAAAAAACGATTATTGAGAAAACATGATGGAACCGTACAAAGGCGTATAAGCTTTGTCCACTACAACTAGTTGGGTAGGAGGGGCACTAGTAGGACATCTATAGACTCGCTATATGGGTGAACCATTATATTAACGACATTATTAATAAGTTAATCTATTAATAATTAACATATTTTCTAGGTAGATATGTACTTAATTACACCTACTTAGTTCTTTATTAAAGCCACTTTTTTTTTAATTTTATTAAAGCCACTTTAACCACCTAATTGTTGTACTATATATTTAAAATCAAGAGTCAAACCATATATTATGTCATATTTGTTTTTTTTTACATTAATCTGAATGCAAATCAAGAACTGATGTTGCCATTCAAATCTTTTGAATATTATTTTAGAAAACGGCCGGAGGGAAACATGAACTGAATTAATAGAACAAAAAAACCATGCAAATTCTTGTTTGACACACAAAAAAAGTATACATATATAGAAAAGAAACACTTGATGTGAAGAAGTATAGTTTTCAATAAGTTCCAATGTTCCATCGGATCGGGCAAGTTGTAGGACATCAAGAGATTGACTGCAACATGCCAACATGGTTAGGCAGATGAGACGTAATGTTGATAATCTAAGTGTGACTAATTGTCTCAGTGATGTGGATCATGCAATTCGAGGGAGTAGTGGAGTACACTAGTAGTGTGCTTGGCTACTGATGCCTTCTACCTTCAAAAAAGTTAATGCAAATATAATTTTGCACGGGCTAGCTAAACTGATGGCTCCAATTGAAAATTATTTAACAAAATCAATTTATAGATGGGCCTGTTGAATCAGTGTGGCCTAACATTACAATTTTTGGATCGGACGAACCTTTAACTAAACATGTCCATGTAAAATCACTATATATATTTTCTATATTTTCATTTTATAGCAAAAATATTTCATATTTTAGATTTAGAAAACCTTTACAGTAAAGTCAGTTTACATTTTGCAGTGCAGAAACGTGGAAACTATAAGTTAGTATAAGCAACTCATACTTAGGCTTTATATACTGTATGAGGGAAGAATTAAATATGTATATAGTTTCGAGCAAATTAGGTTTTGACTGCATAATGGAATTATTAAATATAGAAAACTCATATTTTTTTTCCTAGAATTATTAAATGTACTATTAAAATTGTTCTTTATCTTTATCTCTCGTGCACTCCACCACTATTGATCAAAATGCTCTTGCTGGTCGGTTGCTTCCAAATTTCCCGTGACGTGCATTTCCCTTTTCCCAATTATCATTATACATTACCAACCCCACTTCCGTTAATACGAAATAATACAATTTTCCACAAAAAGAATCAAGATTCTATATCTCTAGCTGAAAAGTTATGTGACATTATTCCGTTATTATTGATATAATATAGTTTCCACTAAGTTTATTTTGTACATATGCAAGTATATCCCATATAAGGAAAATAAAAATTACAAAAAGAAAGAAAACGTAAATTCTCTTTAAAAGGATGAAAAGGTCGAGAAAGTTGCATAGCCGTGAATGATAAACTATGGAAAAGTAAAGATGAAGGCATGGTGATATTTGACATTTCCGTTGGTTGTACTTATCAAGATACACTATTATACTTGTTGCAGATATGATGGAAGATTGGTTAACTTACAAACAAAATCGATATGTAGAAAATAAAATAAAATTATAAGAAAATGGAGAAGATATTCATGGATTCATGCTATTGCTGAAGCTAGCTCACGGATGATGGGCTGAGTAATCGTGGCGTGCAAGCCGACATAAAAAGCACACATCATGAATCTGTATAGTTTACGGTCCCTTTCCAGACAATTCTTTATCCCACTTCTACTATTGCACTTTCTCATTTATCAGATTCTTCAATCTAGCTATCACCTCTTTCTGATTGAAGGTTGTTATTAGGTATATGATTAGACATTGTTGATATGTATATGACATGTAAACACAGTATTCTATAGACAATAGTCATATATTTAAGGCATAAGTGTATATGAACTCGAATTAATTTAGTCGAACCAGCATATATGATTAATCTAATCAATTGACAATATTATAGTTTTTTCATAATTAAACTAATCAGTTGACAATATTATTTTTCTAACGTTTACATTATTTATCATCAGTTTGTGTATATGTGTGTGTGCGCGTTTGGCGTCTATTTTGTTAGCAACTTAGATTGATTAGGTTAAGTTTAGTCTATTAGGTTTTGGTTTGGTCTTGTTCTTTTTGACTTGTGAGTTTTGATAGGTAACTTAGGGGGATTAGTTAGAGATTTTGACTAGGAAGCTTTCGTTAGAGATGAAAAGTCTCAACCACCAATAACTGATCTCATTTAATATATATTACATACAATGATACAGATGTTCTCATAGACCCATGTGCATGTACGTAATCTGATAATTTCAAAACCGTTTGGCAAACGACATTGGACGATTAGGGTAATATATATATTACTAATGCATGTACCTCTTTTTGAATTATAGGTAAAAAGGGTTGGCTAATTTGTAAGGTTTGCATGTGGAATGAGAATCTTGAATTCGCCTATATATGCCAATGACATGCGATCATTTTGAGTACTAATTCGGTCTGCCGTGCACAGTTTTTTTTTTCTTTTTCTAAAATTATTTTATAAAATACCGTGTGAGATATTAATTTTATATTATTTTATTGCTCCATTATAAATTTTTATTAATAATGACAAGGAAATGGACAACTAATACACGTTTAATAACAAAAAAGAAAAGAAGGTAATATAGTAGTAGTCCTAGTTAAAAATAAAACACAATCCTAAACAGTAATAGTAGGTCAATTTGTTTTTAGTAAAGTAAAGAAATAACCGAATGCAGTGTCGTCGTTACTCGTAAGTTAGAAAATACTCGAAGTGTGGCATTAGCAGGTAGGTAGAGCATTATGTATAGATCACATAGTATTTCTTGTTTTATACATATGGATCTAAAGATTATATACATCTCGTAGTTGCCACTTGCCAGAACTTAACATATAATGATGGCAGAAATTGAGGATAAAGATCCGATTAGTAGGTGGGTGGGAGTGACTCAGTAAACCATATAGTCGAAGGAGACCAGAAGCCCCTGCTCTAGTTGTATAGTCTTTTACTTTATATAATAATCTATAAATCCATGCCAAATATAATGTAGTTGACTAGTTTATTTAGCCAACATATATAGTACAGAGCAATTTAACGAAATACTGTATTTGATGGACCACTTTTCAAAAGTAAATCAAGGTAAAGTATCTATTAAAATTAATACAAGTATTGTACCATAACATTTTCATGTGAAACTCTCAAGTTTTTTTTGGGGGAAAAAAGTGAAACTCATATGCTAAAACCTAAAGTTTACATTAATAATAAACTCTAAAGTTTTTTTGGGCAAAGAAGTGAAGATAGTTTTTGTTTTAGTGTTTTCTTATATATATTTGAAATTTGTAAAGGTAAATTTGGTTTTTATATATTTTTAACTAATTGCATCTTTGAAAATAAATAAAATTTGATTGAGATGGTATTTTTGAAAATCTTCAAACGCATTCAATTGTTGAATAACATATTTGATTGTTCTTCTTTAATAGATAGCAGAGAATAACAAAGTCTTCAACGCATCTGCTCAAACTGGGGGAAGTCTCATCCTACTACAAAGAAAGTCAAATGAAGTTAGTGGTTCCATTTTTCCAAATTTCGTTGCTCAATCAATTCAAATGACGTTTCCTTGTAAGGCAATGCATTGTATTTAAGCAAATTATTTATCTTTGTTTAGATGATACAAAATTAATTCAGTCTTTGTAATAACATCGAAATATATTAGACTAAAAAATTCCACTAAAATTGATGATACTGAATATAATGACACATTCTCTAAAATATTCCAAGTATATAAAAATATATATATAAATTTAATGATATAAAAATTCGAACTATTTATGTTTGTCCTTTATATAAATAAACTCAGCCTTTCCATACCAAAAAAAATAACATTTTCATTTCTCCCCTAGAAAAAACCGCCATGACAACCTCTCTCTCCACCTTTGCTTCCCTTCTCCTTCTTCTCCTTATCAGCCACGAGGGTGGCTTCTTTGGAACCGCCGATGCCGAACATGACCTAAGAGCTACCGATTTACATAACCATCGCCATCGTCGCCACCGTGGCCACCGCCGTGGAGAAGAGTTTGAGTACTCAGCAATATCTTGTAGAGCTTACTCAGCCTCGTTGGACGAGTTTGGTGCCGTAGGAGACGGTGTGACCTCAAACACCAAGGCGTTTCGTGACGCAGTCTCACAACTTAGCCGTTTCGAAGACTACGGTGGCTCATTGTTGTTTGTTCCCGCCGGACGTTGGCTCACCGGAAACTTTAACCTCACTAGCCATTTCACGCTTTTCCTCCACCGTGATGCTGTTATCCTCGCCTCTCAAGTAAGTTTTTTTTTTCTTTTCTTTGTCCATTATAAATTTTCCATTAGTCTATTAGAAAATTAAAAACATTAACTAATTAGAAACACCCGTGACACAAAACTCCACAAACGTATTTGATGAATTGGTATTGCTAATTTTGTGTTGTTTCAATTCATACGTACAAAATAAACATTCACGTGACATTTGCTGGCCAGCTTCTAAACTTATGTGGTTGGGCCATTCAATCTATGCTTCTGTTCATTATACCAAAAAAAGAAAAGAAAAGAGTTATGCTTATATTGAGTAAATTGTACATACATAGATAGTGTATATAAAAAGTTAACACACATTGAAATTGTGAGATTTGAAAAGCTTGAGGTTCTTTGAAAAGGAAAAAAACAATTCTTGAGATTGAAGACTGTTCATCATTTGTATGTTCTACTTAAAAGCTACCTCTATTAATTAGAGAATGCGTTACTCTAAAAGTTAGAGGGAGGGTTTAGACTTTAGAGTAAGGTGGTGGTTACGCAAAGACAAAAACTAGGCGAAGTTAGTGGGGATCACATATTGGACGGTTTTAACTTTTGAGAGTGTGTGACCCATAACTTGTTTGGAAGATCTCACTCGTCCATTTTCGATTCCAAATCTGAGCCACATGTTACTTTTTGGCCTTACCCTAAGATAGTTCATTTTATTTCCTAGGCCTAAAGGCAAACCAAAATATGACCCTTTTGCAAGAGTTTACTTGTAAAAGCTTCTAAAGTTATTCCAAATGTTATATTGTTAAACATTCAGAGTTTGACTTGTAACTATGAAAAATTGTTGGTTCTAACTCCTAATAGGAAGAGAGTGACTATGAAGTGATAGAGCCATTGCCTTCTTACGGGCGTGGGAGAGACACGGATGGTGGAAGATTCATCAGTCTACTTTTCGGTTCTAACTTAACCGATGTGGTTATCACCGGTTAGTACTTTCAAACCAAAACCAAAAATACCCAACAAAAACTACAACGAAAGCGATAACTTATATTTCAATTCGAAATTGCGATTTTTTTAATGTAAAAAGGTGAGAATGGGACCATTGATGGACAAGGAGAGCCATGGTGGGGAAAATTCAAGAGAGGAGAACTAAAATACACAAGACCTTATTTGATTGAGATCATGCACTCTGATGGTATCCAAATCTCCAACCTCACTTTCTTGAATTCTCCTTCTTGGCATATTCACCCGGTCTACAGCAGGTACATAAAACAAACTCGGTTTAACTATTCGGTTATTAAAATTTAACCTACTAAAACCGGTTTGTTTCAATGCAGAAATATATTTATCCAAGGTTTGACGATATTAGCACCGGTCACGGTACCAAATACCGACGGGATCAACCCAGGTACGAATTCGTACCGTCAATAACCGGTTTAATTTTAAAATCTGACTTAAAATCAATTAGTTCCGGTTATATATCAGATTCTTGTACCAACACGAGGATCGAGGACTGCTACATCGTCTCCGGCGACGATTGTATCGCCGTAAAGAGTGGATGGGATCAGTACGGGATCGCATACGGCATGCCTACGAAACAGCTCTTGATCCGACGGCTCACATGCATTTCTCCAGATAGTGCCGTGATCGCTCTCGGCAGTGAGATGTCCGGCGGAATTGAAGATGTTCGAGCTGAAGATATCGTCGCCATTGACTCTGAATCTGGAATCAGGTCTGTAACCACTCTGTTCATGGAATAACCGGTTTGGTTTGGTTCGGTTTGGTTTAACCGGATTTGGAAACGTGCAGGATCAAGACAGCTATAGGACGAGGAGGATACGTGAAAGATGTATATGTAAGAGGAATGACAATGAAGACGATGAAGTATGTGTTTTGGATGACAGGAAGCTACGGTTCTCATCCCGATGAGCATTACGATCCCAAGGCGTTACCGGTGATTCAGAACATCAACTACCAAGACATGGTCGCCGAGAACGTAACGATGCCTGCTCAGTTGGCTGGGATATCGGGAGATCAGTTTACTGGGATCTGTATCTCAAACGTGACGATCACGCTTTCCAAGAAACCTAAGAAAGTGCTTTGGAACTGTACTGACGTTTCGGGTTATACTAGCGGTGTGACTCCGGCGCCGTGTCAGTTGTTGCCGGAGAAGCAGCCGGGGACGGTTGTGCCATGTAATTTCCCGGATGATCCGATTCCTATTGATGAAGTGAAGCTTCAACGTTGTTACTCCAGAAGAAGGAATATGTGAACATGTACAACTTTTCAATATTTTTTCTTTACAAATACTTTTCTTGGGTTATAACTTATAAGTAAACGTGTTATCAAATGGAGCAGACTTTGATTGAATAATAGACAAACCTTCAAGGGGAAAAGGAGGAAAAGAAAATATTCACTTACATAATTTTCATACCTGTTCATATACTTGATTATTGGAGGGAAAAAAACAAAACAGAGGTTTAACTTGAGACCCAAGTAACCAAAGACGTGTTTTATGAGCGTCCTGTCTCCAACTAAATCCATCGCAAAACATGTGTTTCTGCCAAAATTGTATCATCTGTTAATTTCATAATACGACGAAGTATGTATACTTAAATCTTATCGATTATTTAATGTGGTAGGTATATCAGACCATTGCTGAGATTGATAGGACTCTAATGCCAAGGCCAGAGAAGGGTCATCAAATTGGATTCCACCAGAAGGGTTCACAGCAAAATCCTGAAAAGAGATAATAATTTAAGAAAGTCATGAGAAGCCACAAAAAAAGTTGCTTGAGATTAAGAGAAGAAAATTAGGATTGGAGAGAAACCTCTGTAAGGGATTTGAACGAGTAAGAACTCAGATATCGGACAAGATTTTCATGAGAACTCAGTTTGAGGAACACTAGATTAGAGTGTCCTTTAAGCCTCAGAACTACAAGACCATTGTGGGTATCTGTGAGGCCTTCAAAATCTGTAATGTCACGGTTTATAGCATGTAAAAACGAAGTTTGGGAGTAGAATAAGGCAGCATCAATGTTATTTACAACTGTTGTTGCTGCTCTTGTCTCCCGTGTCTCTTTAGAGACAAACAGTTTCTTGACCTTGGTCACGATATCACTGACGAACACGTCATCAGTGCTGCAAGAAAGATATCCCAGTAGTGAGGCAATGGACAAGATCCTAGTTCATAGAAACAACACATACACATGTAGATAGTTTTATACCTAAGTTTATAGCTCAGACCCTGTCTTGAGGCAATGGACGAGATGGCGTCTCTCCATCCCCAGATTTTAGCTTCGGTATCAAGCACAGACTTATCATCTCTCGTCTTGATGTTATTACGCACTTCGTTCTCTATCTTGAGAAGCCTGTTATGGAACCATCCTTTCAGTTTCCCAACTTGTTCATCCTTCAAGCCGTAAAAAACAGGGAAGGCATCGATTGATCCTGCGTCCATCAGTTTCTTGATCTCAACGAGCTCATCAAGACAATTTTCTGACTTAGGGTACTTATTTGAGAAGAACACTACTGCAACCCCTGACTCTTCGGTCCTGCTCTTCGTCTCATCCTCTGAATCCACTTCTATCTGGTTCTTTTCCAATTCTCCTTTCAAAGAGGTCACTAGGAACTTTCCGAGATGGTTTTCTCCAAGACTCATGAACACTCTTCGAGGTGGAGGGTCTATTTTTATTTCACTACGTTTCAGTATGTTACATAAGAATGACAAGCAGGACAAAACACCATTCGAGTAGCTAAATTCGTGATTACGCAGATTATCATTACTCTCTACCACATTTTTGCTATCTGCCAATTTTAAACCAGAGGGGATTAAGGACTGAACATGTAAAAGAGTAGCTTTTAAGCTGACAATATGATTGTTACCAGGCAGTTCTTGAGGTTTCTTAGGTAGAAAGATACGGTTCAAAGTGAAAACCTACAGAGCAATAATACAAATTAACATTGCTATAAAAAAACTTCAGAGAAAAAGATTTTGAGGGGTTTAGGAAACTAACATGATTGTAGTATTCTAGAGAACCTAACAACACCAAAAGAATCCTTCTAGATTGAACTAGCTCGAGCAGTCGCCGAATAACTACAGGATTCTTAAGAGAGATCAGGTCAAGAAACACGAGACGATCTATGCTGACCTGGGAAACGATGCCATTGACATCATAAAGATCAGATCTCTCAAGGTTTAGAGCTTGTACCAACGACGTTACTTCTTCATGAGGATGTATCCGATGCTTCTTTATGATTGTAAGACCATTTTTTGGAGATTTAGTATCAGCTAACATTTTCTTGACCTGGACCACAATATCATTAACGAAATCAGCATCACACTTATGATCATAAGTCAACCCCATTACTCCACCTATGGAGACTAAAGCTTGCCTCCATCCCCAAATCATAGCCTCTGTTTCAAGTATTGACCTAGTGTTTCTCCGGTCAACCTTTTTGCGAGCGGCATGCTCAGTCTTGAGGAGGGTATTACCGAAGGGACCAGTCTGGCTCTTGACGGACCAAGCTTTCACTTTGTAGAATATTGGAAAGGGGACAAGATTTCCTTTGTCCATCTGCTTCTTGATCTCAACGAGCTCGTCTAAGCACCAGAGGGACTCGGGGTACTTGTCTGAGAAGATGACTAGTGCGATACTTGACTCTCTGATTCGTTCGAAAAGTGTTGTGATTGGTCTCCCTCTAGTCTCGTCCTCGTCTATGTAAACGTTGATTCCCCTGTTCTCTTCTAGTTTTGGCTTTAGAAAGCTCACCAGGTTTTTTCTTAGAGCTTTACCCCTGAAATTGATGAACACTTGAGGCTTCTGAGACTCGGAAGAGTTCATCATTATTTTTGTTATGTTTGCAATATGAATTTTGAAGACTGAAGAGTTTACACAGAGCTTGGTTGTACAAAGAGAAGGTGTATTGTATTATGTGTTTTGGATTGTAAACTATGGAAAGTCAAAGCACCCATATGTGTCTTCTTGAAGTTTACGTAATTTTTTATTACCAAATGTCTAGATTGGGTCATACGTGCACATGGGTCCATTTATGTGGAAGTAACTCTGCCGGATTCACAAACATTTCAAACAAAAAGAAAATTTCATAAACATTAGTTTTGATATATATAACACCAAACAGTTCTTCTATTAGATATAGCCTAAAAGGTTGGAGAGTGACAGAAGAAAAAAAACAAAAGTCAAACAAATAATGAAGGTCTCATTTGCTAGAATATTACGTTCAAAACAAAAATATAATCATGCAATAGTTGTTTTATCTTATTAAAAATCTGATCTAGTTTGTGGTGTGCTAAATATAAATAAAGTAATCTCACAATGCAAAGAAGTTAGTAGAGACAACAACTATTAAAATCATAAACTAAAACAAAACATAATCAATTCATCACTTCAGATTAACTTATCATTAAGTAATATATTAGTTTTGAGAGTGATAGGGAAAAGTCTTCCAAATAAAGTTTCTACTTACTAAAGCTTAGCTAATGTTTATTAATGCTAAAAAGTATTTCCATTATTGGCATTGATAATGTTACGTAGTTAAACTGGGACTCCAAACACGACTAAACACACTTTGACTCGATAAAATATATAAGAGAACCTGATAACCAAAATCACGGTCAAAATTGAAAATTTGTGACAATTTGCCAAAAAAAAAGTCGCATCAAAAACTAGTTTTAAAAATTGTCTCTCAATTTGAAAACTCGTGGATTTGAGATTCTAGAATCATGTAACATGTGTGTATGATCATGTTAACGTGGCGATAAAAAAAAAAGACCATGTTAAGGTTATCATACTACTACCAAGTCACGTTGCAATTCGGTGTTACTCATACTAGATTGATCCAATAACATCAATCTTTCGACTTATCTGCGCAAGATTGGATCATCTATCATATCTCACTACTTAGTTACGTCTCTTTCAACCTCTACCTCTAGAATTCTACATTTGCAACTTCTTCTGTTTAAGTCTCCAAAGTCAAATTTTCCTTATTCTTCTTTCTTGCTCTGCTAATGCTCTGTAAACCCCCAAAACAATTTGCCTTTTGGATAGTAATGATTTTACTGATATATGAACTAGAAAGAAAGAGAACTCTAAAAAAAAAAAAAAAAAAAAAAAAGAATCTCAGCTGACTAATTAGGCAACAAACTATCTTTTCTTAATGGACTTTCTTCCACGTAAAATCAATATGAGTACTAGCTCAAGACGGCAGAAAAAACTCTCTTGCTTAAGAAACAAGTAGACCTAAAACAGACGCTTAGTTACTTGCATCAGAAGGTTCATGCCCGCAATTCTTTTGGATCATCTTTTGCTCCGCATCATGTAAGATACAAACAAAGCTCCAAACAGTAACGCAGAGACCAAATGCAAGTTGTGCCACCCCTTTATTTGTTTCGGGACAGTATTGGCGAGGCTCAGTTGATTCTCGTTCTGCTTTGGAACCATGAGCGCTTCAACTGTGGATTTTAAAGTCAAGTTGTTAGTAAAGTATTCAAATGAAATGCAGGTTTATGCAATGATCTGAGCTTACAAGGAAATGGGCCATATTGATCTCTATGGTCAAGATCTGAGGCGGTGCGTCTAAGAGTAGGAGATGAAGGCTTCAAATCAATTCTCTGTCAGTCACGCCATAAGCATAGTTATCAGGAACTGATGAAGATTATAGACAGCGAAAAAGAAAACAAATTCTTAGAGAGAGACCTTGTTGTGATACTCAGGATTATAACTCAATCTCAGAGCTTCCAAGCTCTTTGAACGATGGAGCTGGATTTTTATGTTTAACTGACTGACATTATAAATAACCTGAGTTAGTTGTCTTTCCAGTCCTAGTGATGCTGCAATAATAAAGAGGTTTAACTACCAATGTCTGCTTCAAGGCAAAGACTACTCATGTAAAAGAACTAAGAACACACCTCAGTAGTTTCTATAGTATCGTTACGCCCTTCCTCTGTTGCAATATTGGCTAAATTCATATTAACCTTTTCAACGACTTTCTCCACGAAAGCCAACTCAGGACTACAAAAGAAACAGTTTAAGTTAAAGATGTAATTAACCAAACACTTTGGTCATGTTCCAAATCAAACCTTTTTCTGTCATAAGTCAAACCAGCCATTCCAGTGACGATCTTCAAAGCTTTCTTCCATCTCTTGATCCTGGAATTAATACTCTTAATCTTCTTCTTATTGACTTCTTCAGCAAGCAAAGATTTTTGCAAAGCCAGAAACTTTTCTCCAAACTTGCCGCTCTGTTTCTTAACGCTCGAAACCTTCACCTTATGGAAGATTGGTATGACTGCGTTGAGCTTCTCCGTCTCTATGCATTTCTTGATCATCACCAGCTCGTCCAAACACCAAACTGACTCCGCATAGCTCTTTGAGAAGATCACAATCGCGATCCTTGACTTCTTGATGTGGTCGAAGAGGTTCTCGAGCCGTTGACCAGTCACATTGTCGTCGGTGAACACATTCACATTGCCATCAGCCAGCTTGCTTTTGAGATGAGTTAGCAATCCGTTCCGCTCGTCTTTTCCCCGGAAACTGATGAACACTTGATCCTTAGTGTAATTCGTAATCGCCATATTAAACAATGTAGTTTTGATCTCTATATGCTTTGTTAGAGATAATACTAAAATGTGCGAGTGATAAAATTAATTTTAACCAAAGGGTCTAATCTATACTTACACTAGTAACCTTGGTTACTTAAATAGTAAATCAAAATTTATCCATTAAACATTGACTCGCCTCACATTACGCGTTTCACCATCTAACTTTCTTGGAAACACCAATTCTATGATTTTTTTTTTTTCTCACTACTAAGAAAATATGTAATTAGGTTGGACAGTAGAGAGTACACGTGCTATATCTATCCTTGACTGTTTTATATCCTAGTCAAAGAACCTAACGTGGAAGAGAAGATGAAGTAAAATTGATTTCGGTGAGCATTATAATGTCACTGCCAACAATGTAAAACATTTCAGATATTTGTCTTCATCTTGCATTTCCAAATGCTAAATTATACAAATTAGGTTCTATTGCTTAATAAACTAGTGATGACATTTTTTTGTCAACACAAGATTTTTGTCTTTATGCAGGAAAATTACATAATAGAAGAATCATTTCATGCTTCATAGATATTTAATATGGAGTCTTTGGTCTTTTGGTCATAAACAAATACTAATATAGTAAACCACAAGTCTTTTCGTATCTTGCATCTTTTTTGTCAACCAATCTTTCATTGTCTTTATTCATTTTCGCTAAATGATTTATATTATATGATAACGCGGTCCACAAATGCGTATCACATAATCAATTTGTTTGCTTAACTGGGGAATTAAACTTAGTCTTATGATAACACGGTCCACAAATAAGTCTTAGAGATTCCATGGTACAAGCAAAGACAGTGATTTAAAAACATCAGATTTTAGTGTTGATGTGTTTTAATTTCTGTAACCGCGATGTCAAGAAGATATCATACACAAAATAACATGTTTGGTAATGAATAACAGAGGCTTTTGTTAAGACACAAGTAAAAGAAACAACAAGCTGCTTGCAACGCAAGGTTCACATCAGCAATTCCTCGAGATCCTATTTTGCTTGATTCAGAATACAGCTCATTCAGAATGTAACACTTCCTTATGATAATATTGTTGAGTTACGACCATATTTTGACTCGTGTCCAGAAGAATGATCCAGGAATTGAATAATATATAGTTCACAACTTTGATTAGTGTCTTTCAAGTTCAACCTCTCTACTCTAGTATTCTCCATTTGAGTATGTTAGTATGTCTTCAAAATAAAATCAAAACTCCTTATAAGTATATGTAGGATTCTAATAGTAAACTCAAAATTTTTACCCTTTTATTATTTGATATTTCTACATCAATGTAAAATCAGTATGAGTGCAAATCTCAAGACGGCAGAACAAAGGATTTTGCTTGAGAAACAAGTCAACTAAAACAGGTTCGCAGTTGCTTGCAACGGAAGGTTCAGTTCTGCGGTTCCTTTAGATCGTCTTTTCCTCCGCACCATGTAAGACACAAACAGAGCTCCCACCAACAAAGCTGATATGAAAGGCAAGTTGGGCCACCTCTTCTTTTTTTCCGGGACATTTTCAATGCTCTGTTGATTCTCGACCTGCTCTTGAACCTTGACCGCTTCAACTGTGGATATCTCGGCCTGCTCTTGAGCCATGACTGCGTCAACTGTGGGTATCTCAGCGTTCTTTTGAACCATGACCCTTTCAACTGTGTATTTAAAGTCAAGTTGTTAATTAGTCAACATTCTGATGACATATGAAGGTCTATGTCATGATCTGAACTTACAAGGAGAAAGGCCAACTTGATCTCTATAGTCAAGATCTGAGACGGTGCGTCTAATAGCACGAGACAAAGGCTTCAAATCATTACTCTGTGAGTCACACCATAAGCATATTCATCAGAAATTTATGACCTGTACAGAAAAACAAAACAAAAAAAACTCTTAAGACAGAGACCTCGGTGTCCCCTTCAGGATTATAGCTCGGACTCAGAACTCCCAAGCTCTTTGAACGATGATGCTGGATAATGTTTAACTGATGGACATTATAAATAATGTGGTTTGATTGATTTCCTAGTGATGTCTGCAATATATAGAGAGAATTAGCCACCATGTCTGCTTTAATGCAAAACCTAGTTATGTAAAGAAACTAAGAACACACACCTTACTAGTTCCTGGAGTAGTATTACGCCCTTCCCCTGCTGCAATATTGGCTAGATTTATATTAACTTTTTCAACGACTTTGTCCACGAAAGCCAATTCAGGACTGCAAAATAAACAGTTTAGATTTTAGATGTAATTAGCTGAACACTTTGGTCATGCCCTATCATACCTATTATTGTCATAAGTCAATCCAGCCATCCCAGTGACGATCTCTAACGCTTTTCTCCATTTCTTGATCTTGGAATTAATACGCCTAATCTTCTTCGCGGTGACTTCTTTAGCAAGCAAAGAGTTTTGCAAAGCCAGAAACTTTTCCCCAAAGATTCCGCTCTGTTCCCTAACGCTTGAAACCTGCACCTTATGGAAGATTGGTATGACTGCACTAAGCTTCTCCGTCTCCAAACATTTCTTAATCTCCACAAGCTCTTCCAAACACCAGTGTGACTCAGCGTAGTTCTCGGAGAAGATCACAATCGCGATCCTAGAGTTTCGGATGTGTCCGAAGAGATTCTGGAGCGGCTGTCCTGTCACATTGTCGTCCGTGAACACATTCACATTGCCATCAATCAACTTCTGTTTGAGATGAGTTAAGAATCCGAAACGCTCGTCTCTTCCCCGGAAACTGATGAACACTTGATCCTTTTTGTAACTCGTGTTCTCCATCTGAAACACAGTAGTTTGGTTCTCTGTTTGCTTGCTAAAGAGAATACAAAAGTTTGAGAGATATAGAAAAGTCAACCGAACAATCAAGGGTCAGTACGTACTAACGGGGTTTTTAATACAACTAATCTTTGGTTAATTATACGTAATTGATTTTTTAATACCAACTAAAAGCTTTGACCCGCCCTCACATAAATAACATTACGCGTTTCACCAATCACCATCTAACTTTCCTAGAAAACACCAATTTTTATATGAATTTTATCTCACTATTAAGGAATATATATATATGTAATTCAGTTGGACAATAAAATGGTACACCTGTTATCCTTTCTGTTCTATATCCTATACTCAAACAACCTAACATGGGAGAGTAAACTACTAGGTAGCAAAATATTTAAAAATCATTTAGGTGAGCATCATAGAATCATTTCCAATTTATCGTTGTAGGCGGTAAAATTATAAATATTTATAGTATAGTATATATTAAAATGATAACACGGTCAAATAATCCAGGTAACGCGAAAGTTAAAACATTAATATGAATAAAACATCTATTTTTTTTTTCCAGGCACTCATTATTTTAGTTTCCTTTCAAAGTGCTAGGAAAAATTCTTTAGACATATACTCAAACAAACACATGATTACTACTCATCATGCCTTAAGTAGCCGGATTCTTGATAGGGTATGAAGCAACCATCGCAATCCCACATACACCTGTTGGATTTTCAAAGTTACGAGCAATCTTAGCGTAGCCAGCCTCTCCCCACACCGTGCCCCATGAGTTTCTCACGATCCAGTAGTCTTGACCGTTCTCAGTACCATACCCGACGATAACAACTGCATGGTCAAGATCTGTCCCGCATGGTCCAGTATATATACCCTTAATGACATCACACATGGACCATACAAATTTTAATTAATGAATATCCTTGGATTCAAACACAAAAAAAAAGAAAAAGGATTTGAAAGGTATGAGCATAAATTATATACCGATTTGTAGAGCATAAACCCTTGGGACTTTTTGTCAATGGCGACACTCACAGGCTGGTGAGCAACTGCCTTTTGTAGGGAATTCTCGTTATTGGCTGGCACATCCTCGTAGCCATCAATTTTGATAACCTTTTTTGATGTATTCTGCAACCAAACGTACCCAAATATAATTATAATTAGCTACTGAAGTATATAAGCATTTATATGTGGGTGTTTAGTTACGGTAGCACTAATAGGTGAACCTGGTTGTGGTTACAGTAGCCTTGAACGGCCTGGTATGGATAATCTGACTGGTATTCAAGACCATTGTTATTGATAAGGAACTGAAAAGCTGAGTCCATTAAGCCTCCATTACAACCGTGGTTGTCGATGCTGCAGTCGACCAATTCTTGCTCGGACAATGAGATTAACTCTCCTGTAACGATCTTGTTTATACTTTCCACTGCTGCCACAGTGGAGAACGCCCAGCAGCTATCTTTTTTTTTAAAAAAAAAATGCGAAAATAATGATGAGTATATGTTAAGTTTTTATTGTGATCAAAATCTAATAATTTCACAAATAACTAGCACACCAAAAAAAAAACAAAAAAAAACAAAAACAAAAACAGACGTGTATGTAATAACCCAACTATACTATAAAGTATTCTAAAGGGACTAAATTTTAAGGTCACAAACTCGAATTCAATACTAGGAAAAAAAAACGCTAGATTGATCTATATATTAGTCTCGCACCAAGAAAAAAATATATAGAACAAAGGTTAGAATTGTTGATTAAGCCTATATATATATATTACCGTACGAGTTTTGGGTATATATATGAATGTTAATACAAGTAAAATTACTCACTGCAGCGTCCTTGGTCTTTAATCTCCGACACTGCACCTTTTTGCCTCCAGTCAACTGACTGAGGGAGCTGATCTTCGGCGAGTGGTACGTACCTATGAGTAACTCTGAGAGCCTTTTGTTTCTGTATAGGGCGACCAGAGAAAAGGTCTTGGTACTCTTGGACGGTTAGGTCGGCAAACTGAGTCAAACCAAGCCGGTAAGAGAGGTTCTTAGCATTGTGCTGATCAATGAAACGGAGGTTGTCCTTGAAGTTCTGAAAACGCTGTTCCTTATCTCCGAGGGCATTGGTGTAAGTCTTGCCGTGCTTGGACATCCACGTTTGGAAGATAAACCCAACCTCCTCGTTGCTCCGGAGACCGCCGGAAGTGACGGAAAGATCCATGGCCGAGGACGGCGGAAGAAGGAAAATTATCAAAAGAGAAAGGGTTATCATGCAAACAAGTCTAACAAAGCCCATTTGTATATTTTTTCTTAATGGTTACGAAATATTGCAAAATGAATAATGGGTTTTATAGTAGCTAATTGTACATATGTTCGTATATATATAAGGATTTTGTCCTGATCTTGAAATTCTTGGCCTAAAACCAATTCCATATCTCTTGTACACTTGTACCTAAAAAAGTAAAAATCAATACCATATATACAGATATACCCAAAATCTTGAGTCTATGTTTGGATTGTTTTCTATATACTATAAGTAAATACAAGGAGGTACCATTTTTTTGGTAACCTAAGGATTAGATTATGGTATTACTTGATACACCCTCAAACTATTGCCAAATCAGTAAATTGTAGCTTTCTTGTGCTGTCATTAGTAAATATAGTGGTTTCAAAATCAAGAAAAAAATAAATTACATTTTCTATATTTGTTATTAAATATCTTAATTAATTTTACATTTTAAAATATGTTAAATTGTATTAGATACATTCTAAATAATTTTTTATAGAAAAATATAAAATATGGTGGTCATAAAAATATAGCCATTATTATTATTTAAGAGATGCAACTCAATTGATGAGAATACGATTTGCAAAAGGAGTATCTTATATAAGATATTTAATTTGCAAATCTTAGGGTAATATACCCCTAAGATGCTTGCATTGAGGATGCTCTTATTTAACAAACCATCCTTAACATATTAATTTATTTTGATTTAAATTAAATCATCAAAAACCTATGAACCCTATTAAAACTTCCCTTTGGGATGCCCTTAAGAAGCTACCATTAAGGATCACTAAGGGCAAGGGCATCGGTTTGGGTCCCAAAAAAAAAGTTTTTTTTTCGATTTAAAAAGAAAACAAAAAACAAAAAACAAAAAATGATCAATTGCGGGCCACCACGTGTCAGTGGGACCCGCGAACAGAGAGAAACAAAACGCAGGACCGTCACGTTTGTGCGTACGTCCTTCATTTTTTTATTATTATTTAATTTTGTGTAAAATATTGGGTGGGACTGAAGCAAAGTACGCCAATAAACATGGTCTAAGTAAACTAGTAGGAAGTACAGTGTCTGTTGAAGAGTCGCCAAAATTCATGAGCCCGTTATTGATTTAGGCCTTGAATGGAAGGCTGATAAAAAGCATTTCTCCTGCAAACAGAGAGACTGTCCTGTTATATGAACCATTCGACACAAAATAAATATAGTGCATATCAAAAAAGAAAATATTATTAAAAAGTAATTGTTTTGCTAGCAGATAAAAATAAAAAGGATATTTGTACTGCATTATGAACATAAAAAAGTTGGAGATTTTGAGTGTTTTTGAAATGAACTGTTTTTAAATAAAAAATTAATAAAATTTGATCTACATTTAATATATTATATCTGTTTGATCCGCTTTTATTCTGCTAAATATGTTTGAACGGCTTGAATCTTGATTTCTGTTCTGCCCGATTTGCTCTTCCATTCGAAGTCTTAGTCCGACGCATCATAAAAAGATTTATCCAATTAAGTTCATAATCCCTAATCATTATCAACTTTTTACTGAATAAAGAAAGAATAAACACACATGCAGGTGCAGCCAATAACAAAAAAAAAAAGAAAAATGCACCTAAAACCTGATCAATTTGCCGTTATTCAGTGTATTTTTCTTTTGACTTTGACTACATCTGTATAGTGTTGTTATAATGGAACTATTATTAATGAAATCACTAATACTGCAATTTTTCGTTTTATCTATGAATCAAATTCCTCTTAAAATTTCCAAAAGAACGCGTTAAAATTCCTTTAAAGTGGTTGCCATGTGACGGCAGAAACAAAATTAGCAACCATACTAATAAAATAAATCTTCAAATATTGTCGCTTTTGATTGTTAAAATGCTTTTTATGACAATAATACCATGAATTATTCATTCTTATTATGTATTTTAGATCCAAGATATGATATTTTGATTATGCGCGTTATCTGTTGAACAGTGGAAGTATAAGAATACATATATATGGTTTAAAGTTTAATAAACTAATTAATTTTCGTAAACAAAAGCTAATGATCACTTTTCTTGCCACGGCATTCTCATCATTGCTCTCTAGTCTCTAGAGTCTTTTAGAGAAATAAAAAGGTGATTCAAGAAAATAGCTCTTTTCTTGTTGAAACAAGTAATACAAAATTGGTCCGACAATGTTATAGTATAAAACTGTAGTATATATCTATATATATATATATATATATATTCCTTTTATAACCGTCATTAACGGTTAGTTCAACTGACCAAGAACAAAGGTCTTAACACCCGTAATTGCCGCTTCGATTTATCTGACCGCATATCTCGCGAATTCATCAGGTGGAGTGGAGTCATACATATGTGTGCTGAATTCGAGATTTCGAATGAATAAAAAATTACATTGGTGCATCAGCCTCCTTGATTTTTTTACTAATAAATCTGCAAAAGCAGAAAGTGTATATGTGATATTTTCTCACAAATATAACCTTTTCTCTAGATTATATGTTACTTGACCTATGCATAAGTACTTTATGTGTAATGAATCGGTACAACACTACAACCTACAGTTATATTCACATTCTTCTTTTCTTATATATATATATAGTATTGTCAATTATAAGGCAATGTTGAAATTTGATACTAGATTACTGTAAAATGATAAAAAAACAAAAATTTGGAAGAAAGATTATACAAATGATTCTAACAGCTAAGAAAACAAGATAAGATAGCCACTTTTAGTCAAAGCATTCCCTTCTGTTCTCACTGCTTTGTACTTTGCATAGTTCTCACAAATATAACTTTTTCTCTAGATTATATGTTACTTGATCTATGCATAAGTACTTTATGTGTAATGAATTGGTACAACACTACAACCTACATTTATATTCACATTCTTCTTTTCTCATATATATATATAGTATTGTCAATTATAGGGCAATATTGAAATTTGATACTAGATTACTGTAAAATGATAAATTACCAAAAATTTAGAAGACAGATTATACAAATGATTCTAACAAAAGCTAAGAAAACAAGATAAGATAGCCACTTTTAGTCAAAGCATTCCCTTTTGTTCTCACTGCTTTGTACTTTGCATCAAATAAATTAGTAGTTCTCCCAAAAGATAAGCATCGTTAAAGGCCCAAAAAAAGAAAAAGAAAGACGAAAAAGACTGGTTTTACATAATAGATCTTATCATCTTGAGTTTCACTGCTAAACCTTATATATGCACAGTTCAATTATGTGGTTAGAAAAATTGCGGACGATGATTTGTATATCGGTGGCGGCTTCCTTAGAGATAGCGTGCCGTGAAATGCTTTCATATATGTCACATTCGACAAGACAAATACGTAGGTGTATGCACTTATGGTACTACGTAAATAGGTGACCGACAGAAAAATGCAAAGCTGTTCATTACCAGAAAATTAGAAATGTAAAGCTGGTTTGTGTAAACAATCCGTAATAGAGTGCCTTGTTACAGTGAGTCTTGCTTGTTACAGTTTATATCTCACATTGGAGAATCTTTGAAATGTCACTACTTGAGATTAACCGATAAGTTTTGGCATGCTCATAGCTATTAAGTTTGCCACATGCGAAATATAAAAAAAAAATCATGTCCACGAGACTTTTCTTTGGTGAAAACATAAATTACCAAATTAAATTCAAATCAATACAAATTAAAAATTATGTTATAAAGATGTATCTACCACTTTAGTGACAAGTACGTTAGAATATTAATGAACAATTTTTTTTTCTTTTGCATATGGTTCACCCTAACATGCTTTTTTCAATATTCAAATCTTTCTTTATTATTATTATTTGATTATTCGGATGATGAAACTAATCTAAAATTAAATCATTATGTCCGTATCATACGACTTAACGAATGTGACATCACCAATCAAATAAAATAAACATCAACTATATGTTTTCGAGAAATTTTGTTTTACAAATTGAGAACTAAATGATGTCACGAGGATGTAAAAATAGAAAAGGTCCTTAAACAGACCAAAAACGAATATTCTTCACTTCACGAGTCCCCAAAAATAACATAAAAACAAATATTAAAAAATAAACAAATTAAGAAAGAAAAAAAGAGTTAATGTCTTCTCTCTCCGACAAGACATGTTTAGCACCATTTCGGTTCCTTCCTTAATATCATCATCATCATCATCGCTTTTTTCATCTAAAATCCCAAAAAACCCCTTTTTTCTCCCATTCTTCAGAAAAATCTCTCCTTTATCTCCGGGAAGTTTCACTCACTGTAGCTTTTCTGATTCCATATCACACTCTACACGCTAAATGGCTCCGGCGACTGAGTGTCAAAGCTCATTCCTGAGTCGACTCAGCATCCGCCGCAACCAGATCGTCTCCATGGACGTTAATCACGAGCACGAGCTCGAAGAACTCGAGTATTTCCAAAAACACGTAGCTGAGCGTTTCTCTGAGTTAATACCATCTCCATCGTGTCCTCTTTCTTCCTCCTCCTCCTCCTCCGGCGTCGCGGCAGTATCTCAGCCGTCTGATCCGATTCTTTCGATCCCTTGGTTGGAGAATCTCCTCGATGTTTTCATGTCCTGTGAAGCTGAGTTCAAGGCGGTGTTGAGCATGACCCAGATCTCGAAATCGCCGTCTTTAGAAAGGGTTTTGCCGGAATTGCTTGATCGGATTTTAAAGGCGTTGGATTTATGTAACGCCGTTGTTAGCGGGATTGATTCCGTTAGACAGAGTCGACGTTTCGCGGAGATCGCTGTCACGGCGCTTAAACAACGGCCGTTATGTGACGGAAGCGTTCGTCGAGCTAAGCGTGCGTTAACTAGTCTCCTCGTTGGGTTAAACGCTGAGGAGAGGAGAGATAGGAGTAGTGGAGGAAGTGGCAGCAGTAACCAAAGAAGGACAACGTCACGGTCTTGGTCGTTTGGACCGCGCAGCAATGTCAGTGGAGGAGGATCATCTGGCCAAATTAGTAAGAATTGGTCTGCGACGAAGCAGATTCAGGCGATGGTTGCCAATCTGGTGCTGCCACGTGGAGCAGAAGCTTCTGGACCGGCAATGCCGGTTTACATAATGAGCAGTGTTATGGTTCTAGTGATGTGGTCGCTTGTGACGGCGGTTCCTTGTCAGACAAGCAGCGTTCTTGTGGCGCCATTGCCACTTCCGAAACACCAGAGTTGGGCTAGCGCATCTGTTTTTATTCAGGAGAGAATTGGTGAAGAGATTAAAAGGAAGCGTTGCGGTGGCGGTGGGTTGATGGAGGAGATGCAGAGGATGGAGAGGATTGGGATATCTTTACTTGAGTTCACGGAGAGGTTTAGGTTTCCGGCAGATGAAGAAGAGGAGATGGAAGTTGCGGAGAAGGTGGATGCGATGGAGGAGATTTGCAGGGAAATGGAAGTGGGATTGGATGATTTGCAGAGACAAATGAGGCAAGTGTTCCATAGATTGGTGAGAAGCAGGATAGAGATTGTTTCAGTGCTTGATCAAGCTTCTGCAATCTAATATGTAAATCATCAATAACAACAAAACCTTTTTCTATTCTTTGGCGATTTTTGGACTTAAAAACGAATCTTTCAAAAATCTTGATGTGTATAATCTACAAATCGTATACATACACACCAATGTTACTGTTTTTGGTATATGATAACTGCAAAACTCTATTGACTGAGATTAGATTCATGGTGCTTTCCTGAATCTGTTCTTCTGTGGCTTTCGTGTCTCTTTCCCTGACTTGTAATTGTTTCCAGAAGCCTCCCTATGTTTTCCGAAGCTTCTATTACCAGGGCGCTGTGGTCCTGTCCTACTTCCACTAATGTCGGAAGCAGGTGTGTGTTGTTGATGTGTTCTCTTCTGCCGTTTGAATTTGTTGCCGTCTTGTTTGGCTGTAGTTTCTGATGAAGCGTCTCTGTAATTTCTTTTCTGTTTCCTGTAAAAACGAACCAATTATTATGTATTCATATACTGAGCGAGCAATGGTTTAATTGGATGTGTTCGTGATCTCAGATTATAATTGCTGTTCTAAAGGATCTTACTCTCTGGATGTAGCCTGTGAATCATTGGTCTCTTCTTTGTCTTTTGATTTCCCCGAACGGTTCTGCACATTAAGATGAATGTTCCAAGATGATGCAAACGTTTCTTTCAATTTATTCAATTCTCAAGAAAATTTACATAGGGAGAGAGAGACCTCTAAAACTGTCTGGATGAAACTCTTGTGCTTGTCTGGTGTGGCTAATTGGACTGCGCGGGTGCCACACTTCCTTACCATAATCTCAACAATGATCGTTACCTAAATGCACAATTTTCACACGTTTTGAACAAGGAGATGAACTGAATTCACTAGGAACTAAAAGTCAAGCACTATTCTCATTATTACCTTTGTCTTAAAATAGTGTCTTGAAACAGACGACCAGGGGAGAATTTCGTATAAGAGGTTCTGCAGAAGATTCTGCAAGTCCTGGGCTTGCGATGTTGAAACTAAAACTTTCACAAAACCCAAAACAGCCTGGAGATACACGAAGACATATAAGAAAACCAAAGGTACATAATACTTTTACCAACAACATCTTGAGGTCTGATTGGTATAAGATGGACTTACTTTTATAATCTCAATGGATTTGGTGTGAAGCAACGATAAAACAGATGAAAGAAGCTCGGGTGACGACATGCAGATCTCAGGGTCTTTGTATATCAAAGCAGATAGTGCAGACACAGCTCCACTCCTTATGTGCGGCGACGATCCAGAAATATAACCCGTTATCTGAACAATCATGGATGCTGATTAGTAATTTGAGAGATAATGAAAAGAACTGAAGTTGTTATGGCGAGCTCATCTCATGTACTTACCATGTTAATCAATTTGGGACAAAGTTCCTCGCTGCTGATAGATGATAAATTTTTCAGGGTGGTATATACCATAACCAGTGCATCACATGCTGATTTTCTATGTTCTTCTTTCCCCTGTATATGCAAAGGCAAGATAAGGCACAAGAATGTCAATTTTGATGAGAAATTGTATTCTTTACCCGAAGTACCAACAAATAACAAAGCGAACAGCATGTTTACATCTTTAAGTGTCAGGATCACTTCGTTCAGAATTAGGAAAGCCTTCTCATTCTCCTCCTCGGTGCTTGACTACAAAATAAAAAGAGTAAACCATCGAGAATATCAGTAATTTTTTTCGCAAGGCAAGACCGAATTATACATTTTATAAAAAAATATCAGTAATTTTCTTCATAATGGATAGACTCCAGCAATAAATATCTACTTATATCAAGTTAGAATAAAAGTAAAAACTTTTAACCTGAATTCCATGAGCCATTAGAACGTGGAGACATGCAAATCGGCTTCTAGAAGATGCTGCATCCTCTGGATTTTTATGGCTGAGTAACATCTCTATCACCTCTACAAAATGAGATGAACAAAACCAACCGTGTTCCTGCACCAACAAGGGCAAAGTCTCATAAGCATGAGGAGCACCCAGTGAACAGTATAAGAGCTACTACAACAAGCTTTGATGAGGTAACCAACCTGAAGAACTCTGCTCAGAGTATCATATGCACCACAAAGATCAGCCTCATCGGTGGCCTAAATCCAAAACAGCTCATGGATCAGCCTCTACGTAGGAAAGTTCTCTAAGATCAAATAAGAAGAAACATACCTGAAAACTTTGACGAACAAGATTATAAATCAACTCAATAAGATCTTCCTTGGCTCCTTCAACAAATGAAGATGCAAGATCCAGCACAGCACTCCTGCAAGCAAATGTCATTGAAAAAGGTCATACGAGGTATAGGAGAGAGGAGATATAACTTGATAGACACATGGATGTCATGCTATTACTATGTCTAATGGTATTCAAAAAAATTAACAAGCTGGACAAGAGATTTTATGGCTTGAGTTTCATTATAAAAGTAAATATAACTTGAACTATACCTCTTTAACTGTGTCTTTGTGGCACCGCAGGTTTCTTTTTCTTCTTCGATTGAATCATTTGATTGATTGACCTTCTCTTCAGTCTCGCTTTCACCAGCAGGATCAAACTTATTTAGCAAAGAAATTAGAATCCTTTTCCTAACTGATGAATTAAGAGTGGAAGCTAAGGATCCAATTGCAGCCTGCCATTACAAGAACATTAACTATATAATATTTTCTACAGCGAATCAAAAGTTTAATCACTTAAGTTAAAAGACCACATAGACTTGTACTGAAGAAAATGACGGATATAGAAGCAAAAAATTATTTGACAAAAATATAAAATCACTGTAGGCATTAATTGAAGAAATCCTAATAGTAGTTTGAGTAACAAATACATTTGAGTTTTCTTCATGCCTATAAATATAGTTTCTGTGCGAATTGACTACCCTTTACCGCCTATGAGCAGACAAGCATTTGGAATCTAATCACACCAGAAATGCTATCTCCCCAGCAAAAAGTATTTGGAATGAGTAAAATGACCACAATGGAGGACCTGAAACCAATTTGTTATAAATCCGAAATGCAGAGAATAAGCAGAAAATTTTGTACCTTAAAGTCTGCACTGATCTCTGTGCCTGAAACAGTGAGTACATCAACAAGAGTCTGAAGCAACTGTGTCGAGCTTGATGCCAAAGCCTTCATGTTTTTAGCTGAAGATTTCTTTGAATAGTGGAATCCACTTTTCAGCTCTGTTGTTGCATCTTCACTTATGGCTTTTGCTTCTCCCATATCTGTACTGGGCTTAGGCATTCCTTTATTCTGATTTACAAGCATCTACACAAGGAAATTTTCAGTGAGATTGCCAAGTTGGCAGTTCACCACTTAACCCTAGCACTAATAGAATGCAAAGGAACTCACCTGTATAGAAAGAGCGACGGCTTCATGCATGAAAGATTTATTTTTAACAAATTTAACCATTAGTTTGGCTAACGATCCAAATTTTTGGGGGACATCAACTGGATAGTTACAAAAGGCAGGTAGCAGTCTCAGAAGTTCATGACTATAGGCCCGCAACTTTTTGCCGTGAGATGACTTTTTAGCTAGCATACAAGCATATAAATAAATGTTAGTGAAAAATTGCCAAGCACATAGAAATTATTAACTAATTGTGCCCTAGATGGTAACTATATTCTTGCATGATGTAAGACAAGTGGCAGAATAGAATATTAAGTCCTGATATGCAAACAAAACCAAGAGGACTAGAAGATAGGAAACGTCTGTTTGATCTAATGTAAATGAAATTCTTATTGTTGGCATAGATAAGTACCTCCTTTAGAAGCAAGCAACAGTGATTTTGCAAGCGGAACAATGTGGTCGACATAATACTCAAGAGATGCTCCAACAATATATTCTCTTAAGATTGGAATTAGCCAAGCATTTGTGCATGAGTGACTCTCAGTATGAAGAGTGATTGGAAGAAGTGTCAGTAGCCTTACTGGTCCCACTGCAACCACTGCAGACCCAATGCATTGCTGAAGCTGCAGATAATTCCAATCTAGTATAAATCAAATAGTATAGATAGACTCTTTATATCGTAAGAAACTGCAAACATAGATATATGATGAGAATCAAGATGTATTTTTTTTCTTAACCACGAAATACGATTGAATACACCATTGAGTATCAAAATCACTATTATCCACTGGGACATTCTACATTATTACTCACAACTTTCTGAGCCAGCCATATTCCTTAAATAAGAAACCAGTACCATAACTGAAACAGAATAGGCCCTTTAGTAACTTACATATTGTGAGCTAGAAGTGTCTCCAGTTGCATGTTTCATCAAGTCGGCAAGCTTTAATATGATATCCTTTGCAAGAATATATGAGAGCTCTCCTGAACCAATCGGAGATAGAATTGATATATTTCGCTAGGAAGATGTGTAGATAACATATTCAGGATGACAAAATATAACACCCGAGTGAAAGTACACTTACCAAGTTTCTCGATCAAAAGATTTATGACAGTTAAAATGTGATCCTTTGGATTTCCATCACATGAGTTCAGGGCAGTCTGAAAGACAGAGCATACACATCTTGCTGCATTTATATCTTCTCCACTGGTTACGTTATCCACATCTTCACCAGACAAGCTTTCATCGATCAGAAGTTTATTTTTATCGATGTGGCTACTGATCAAGTCTTTTAATATAACTGAGGCTTGGGATGCAACATCGTCCGTGGAAGTCAGAAGGCCTAAAGCATAGGAATTGAAAGTTGGAATTTATCATAACATATAAATAACTACAAGCACACAATGAAGAACAAAAGCGATACATGCTGAAAACTAGAACGGACACAAACCTGCCAATGACCTACAAACTAGTGGAAGTTTCCTTAGACATAATGTCGGTTCGACTGAGTAGGCTTTCTCCAAAGCACTTTTTAATAGGGTGGTCACATGAACGATCGTGTCAGCAGGATTCTTGTCGTGTAAAGATAAATAACTAGTCAAAGAAGTTACGAGTCCTTCTATCTCAGGAACAACAACTGTATCTTCTGAATTCTTGAAAATAGTGTCAATTGCTTTGAGAATTTGCCTAGTCAGCGGCGAAAACTGTGATCCCATAAGCTTGCAAAGTTCTGTAAAAACTCTAGAACTAACTTTCGCAGTGAGAAACGGAATTGTAGCACTCAGCACATTTAGCGCATGGGCAGCCTCTACGTTCTCGGCTTTCAATGTTAAGTTAACCTTAGAACCTTCCTCAATCTTTTTTGAGCTTAAGTCAGATAGAACAGGCATATATTCTTCAAGTAAAGCATAAACTGAATTACTTGCTTCCTTTAGAACAGTAGATGATCGGAGAGAACCAAATAACTTCTCCAAACACTCTTGAGCGCACCTTCTAACCTAACAGAGCAAACACACAAACCAAGATTGTCATCACAATATGATACATTGATACTTCTTTCAAAAATGAATTTCCGAAAAGATAGCAACACTAGCATGACTTCTCCGCCAGTAAACCCACGAATATAGAAATAAACGATTTCATAGCAACTGCAAAGCTCAAGACTTCAGCAGAACTAATCATGGAAATGGTCATTATAGATAGTAGTGATTCATTCCAGCAATTCTAAGAAGCAAAAGAGTGGGAAACACGAACCCAAAAGTAAATACCTTGGGACGTTTGTCAATGGCGAATTTGAGAAGTAAACCAAACCCAGTTTGAAGTGATTCCCAATCATCCAAATCACAGAAACCAATAAGCAAGGCTCCAATGCACTTCACACCAGCTCTCAAACTCGCAACACCTAATTTATTTCCTTCTCCATCAACTGAATTTACCAAAACAGCTACAGCATCTCGAGCCATAGTAGCTGAAATTTCTCCTGAAGGAACCAAAGGAACGACAATGGACAGGAATGTAAGCAAAGCAGAAATTGCCTCGGGATCCTCCGTAGAAGAATCCACAGAGGATATAGCAGCTGCGAAGAAAGCTGAAGGAGATGGCGGAAGTGACTCAGAGGTGAGAATAGAGCGCATAGCGACGGCGGTGGCGACGAGATGACGGTGTTGCGCGGCTGAGGACTTGCCGTAACGGTCCATAAGCTGTTGGGAAATATCAGTGTTGCCATCTTTGAAGGCAATTTCATCGTTTTCATCAGCTCTGTCTTCAAAGGCCGCCATAGCTCGAAGTTGAGATTTTGATTAGGGTTTAAGGAAGAAGAAGAATGACGTTGACGGAAAAAAAAAAACACGACTAAATAAACGACCGGGTATATATTAAACCGGGAGAATTCCGGTTTAATTCATCATGTCTAATTCTCGGTTTTACCGGTTAGATCCTTCGGTTTCGCTTCTAGTATGTCGCCTTTGGGGAATAATGATTTCATATGGCAAAATTGTAGTTAACCTTATCAACATAAAGTCTTTAGTAATCCAAGCAATTAGAAATAAGAAAGTTATTTTTATTTTTGTTTCCGTCAAAAAGAGATGTTATTAACTTTAACAATCGGTACAACGAAGTTGGAGAATACACAATGGCTAAGGCATAATAGGAGGAATTTACAATCAAACTTAGGAAGATGATGAGCTACGCTATTACAAGGTCATTTTGTACAAAACTGAACCGTATGGATAAGAATCTCGACATCCAATAATGTATATCCAGGAGAAGGTTTGCTATCGCACAATTGTTGAGGATCCATTGGATTATATGTATTATTGATTAAGACTTCACAATCTCCTTCAAAACATACTCATTAATTTGAAGCCTCGCATCTTTTAACTCTCAAATTCTTCATGTCTCTAGGATTTCAATACTATATATATATGTCAAAATATAACAATGTACTAGACTAAGAGTTTGTGACAATACTTGGATAGTTTGAAGAGTTTTTACACTATTGAATTGTTAGTTTGAATAGTCAGACGTACGAGAATAAAAACTTTTGATATGAGTTTGTGACAATACTTGGATACTGTCAAGAGTTTTTTTCCTATTAAATGTTAGACGAAAACCTTTTGATATTTTTTTTTGCATCGTCGGATGCAGAAAAAATGGTGTGGTTAAGATACGATTGTCATGAAATAAAGTCTTAAGTGTAGCCCAATTAACGTAGGCATATTGTAAACGCCATTGTTAATAGGTGATGGGCACAACAACGCGCAAGCTGTGTTATTTAGGGCACAACCTATATATAATTACAACCTATATATAAATTACACATACAAGTTGTTGAGAACTTAGCATTTTGGACCAGATTTTTAAGTTTATTGTTTTTATGCGCTTTTACATTAAATATCATCATTTTTCTCATCATCACTTTCAATTTTTATGGAAGTTATATATCCTATATTTTACTAAAAGTACCCAAAAAAAAAAAAAAATATCGATATCTTTAAACCAAAAGTGACCACTACCACTATCGGATTCGTTTAGTTTCCAACGGCAGTCACTTAATATCAATTTCTTTAATTTTCTTGTAGCGATCATCACTTTTTCAAATCGATATGGAGCCAACTCAAAATCAATGTAAATGTATAAGTCGTACCACAACATCAACGATTTTATAGGTTTTTAAGTACCATTAACAATGTCGTACGAGTTTGAATGGTGACCAAGATTTATAATATACTAGTTAGTACGTAGTTTATGTTGGTCTTGTAATTGTGCCATCATTCAGGTTTAAATTCGTATATATATTGCATATCTTCTGACAAAAAAAAAAATATTATTATGATAATATATGTTTTCTCTTAATTAGTACTTTCAATAATTTGATTATATAACAAATATATAAGTCCATTAATTAGTAATGACACGAAAACGCGTACGGAGACATGTCACATCAATTCAAATCTAAAGTAATTGAACACAATAGTTATATTGACTACCATATTGTATAATCAAAATCAATACTAACATATAACAATATCTTTAGTCGACCAAAAAGTTTATTATTGAGTGACAAAGTGATCTTATCACCACGTTAATACAAAAATGAAGTCGTGCATCGAGATGTACGACACTGCCTAACTTTGTACGGAACTAACTTGATTTCATTTTAATTATATGGTATAGACTCAACATATGTTTATATTAAAGTGTTAAGAGATATTTTGGATTTCAATGGTATCATAGTTTCTACCTTCCGGGGTTGCCTAAGACTTACGAAATTCACTAACCGATGATGACGGTTTAAGGAGATGCAATACAAATTTCCGTTGTTGATGTCCAATTCCATATGCATTTTTATGGCTATAACTTATATCAAATTTTAATATGATAGAATCAATAAAAATGATTTTGGCTTAGCTAAAAGATTATTAAAAAAAAAATCCATAGGCCATAACCCACAAAAAAGAAAAACTTAATTATATACGAGTGCTTAACCATAACCCTAAAGCTATCTTTAAACTTTGTTGGATCCAACTCTATGATGGAGGAGAGCCAGTTTCTGATTATACCGTCGATTTGGAAGATGAGAAGTGTTGAAGTCTTTGGGATATGTATTGCAACATTAATCTATCACAGAGTCTTTTCAGTGTTTCCGATAGCTGTAATTTGTTGCTTTTCACTCCATATGGCAACTGCATGGTTTCATTTTTGCTCTTCTTTTTATTGTTTAATATGGACCAATTACTAGAAAGATACATCCGAAATGGTCAATCTACACATAGTAATCCCATGCTTAACGAAACATATACATATAATATAAGAGTTGTTTAATTACAACTTCATAGACGTATACGCACTATACATACAAATTAACTAATGCAAGTGGAACCCTACGCATGATGTCACGAATATATATATATATATATAATTCGAATGTAGCTTGCAGAAATTAAATTCACATAAAAATTTCGGCAATCATAAATTTAAGTGATGTCATATTTAATCAAATCTATGCTTTACATAATACAATAGTTGTATATTATATTGTTGTTGTATATATATAAGATCTGTTGATTTCATGCATTGGGTTGTCACACAAACATAGATGAATTGACATAGATATGTTCTTGACATGTATCGTGTGGTTTGGTCACTCTTTACAAATCTAAGTTCATTTCTTAGATCCTGATGTATATGGTGTTACCTCTCGGTAAGTACATGGAGTGTTCATGATGGACACATATGTAACTGAGTATTTACACACATACCGCGAGTGTGTCTATTTTACACGTTAAACGAAGAATTCAAAGAAGTCGGTTCTATTTGTATACGTTCTTTCTTTTTTTTTCTTTTGGAAAAAAAATATTCTAATTGTATTCTTGTGAGATCATCAATATGACAATACAATTATATTCTATATCATCTGTTGCCGTGGTTTCACATACCATGTCGACATACAAAAAAATATCAATCTAAGTACATCACCAAGTAAGATTTAAGTTTAATAATTCAACCACTAGACTATCACAAATTGGTTCGAATATAGTGTTTCCTGATACCATAACCGAATAACTTTTCTGATTTTTATAAGTAGTTTGGGAACTAGAAAAAATAAAATTAAAACATGAGCTGTTAACCAAGTTTTTTTTTTTTATTGTATAAATTATCTAAATTAACTTTATTGTATTTCATACTTAACGTGGTTTAATTGAAAACCATGTAACAACTGATTACGTGTTGACAAAATGCAGCTAGTTATGTAAAAAAGATCAAAGTTACATAGTAATATTGAAATATTCTTATCTCACTATTTTGATATACACACATCTAAAGAGACAAAGATATTTAAGTGTATAATTCAACCGAACTCACACGAGTCAATAAGCTCGTATAAGTACAAAATATCAGGCAGACTTTAACAAGTGTTCGTTTAATTGTTTTCCCAACATATATCGTCATTTCTATGATTTCTCTTGATTTGTCTATACATAGTTCTTAAAATGTTATCATAGTTTTTAAAATGTTATTGTTATATATCTGACAACATATTGGGTATTCATTTACGGTCTTCAGTGTTAGATATATAATTTGGTTTTGTATATTATCTCAAAGATCTAAGTTTGTGACTGGATTTTTTTTTCCAGTTATCCACGTGTGTATATGTCTGTATTGTGCGCGTATCAAATATATGACATAGACCTTTACAAGTTGGTGCAAGAGGGGATGCAAATTTCTTCCCAGTTGCAAGAGCAAGCTGACTACATTTAAAAAATATATATATATATATATATATATATATATATATGTATATTTTAATAATTTAAATCTCTCAATATGGTTTTTATTATTGTTTTGTTGACTTTAAGTTTTTTATGCCTTTTATGGGACTACAATCACCCGTGCCAACTTTTTAATCTCCCATCGCCTAAAAAAGAAAGAAAAGGCTACCAATATGGACCGAAAAATATTTAAGAGCATATATTACAATACTATACGAATATATGTATTTCTTTGTTTTGACACTTATGTGGTCATTTGACAAAGCAAAGTAATCAAAATTAACGTGTAACTTATGTGATCATTTTGACAAATTAAGCAAAGTGATCAAAACTAATTAACTTCAACAAATTACGAGCTAATAATAAGTCAGAGAAAGTGCTACGTCAAAACTGATATATTTTTTTTTTTTTTGAAATCAACTGATATTTATTTAAGAAAATAAAAATGAGGTTTTCTTTGACGATTAATTTTACATCTCATTATATTATTATAGGATATAAGATTTTTCATAGCATGGTATTTTTACGTGGACTTTACTAATGGAGATTATAGTTTAGGATTGTGTTTTCAAGTTGTTTTTGTTTGTTTAGGATTTAGTTTTGGTAGGTGTTCATTTGATAAATAAGACACTAACTGATAATTAAATTAGCATCTATATAATGAGTATTTGTACACATAACAAAATAGGATGTTGTTATATATAAAAAAAATATGCTCCCCATAACCCTGAAATGAATGATAATTAACATTTGGAATGAATGGAAAACACTACATGATGGCAATAATTACTTACATCATTTTTATTTTATTAGTTTCATGTCTAACCGTCTAAATATTGAGTATGTTATGATTTTGTCAAACATTACTATTTTTATAGGTAAACAAGTTAGAATTTTTTGTTTCTGTGTTTACAAAAAAAAACACTTTATCAAGTTTAACTCGTTAAAAATGTACTTTAAAATACATAATAGGAGACCATAAAAAACAGGAAGAATCATAATTACAAACATAAAAAAACAACCAAAAA